TCATGACGATTCTGCAAAAACGCCAGTGTCAAGGTAAACTCCCATGGTTGACTTCAAGATACCATGTACTGTGAATTACATGCCAAGTTTAGAAAGTGTTGTGTGACGGTCAAGATATGTATTGTGGTCGTAACACACAGAAATTGCCTGCGTCATCATGCGGCCAATTTCGATCGGTGACTACTGGTCAACCCCTGATCGAATTCGCCTGGTTGAACAAGGACAATATATTTTGTCAACAGGCCTCTCTGGTGAAGAGGAAGTTTTGAAATCAATAAATTATTACAGGTGAAGTTTTTGACCTGCTTTTAAAAGGTAAACCAAGCTATAAGTTTTTGAACAAGAATTTTACAACTTTGTAACCCTTTTATATTGAGCTCACTCCAATTTGCTTTTGTCTATCGCCAACACCTAACGAGTAATGTGTTTTGCTGTGAATTGTCAAGTACAATGTGTAAACACGACCATAATTATACGACTCGCCCAGCTCTGCTCACGAGGGAAAACGCAGAACCTCGCTTTCCCTCGGCGTGGCAATGAAGAAAGTCATCAATCACCAATAAACTTAAAGGCGAAGGAGTCACTCGATCCTCGGGCATCCAAGGCATTCTGACAAAGATCGCTTTATATCATTTGTTGACATTCTCGGGCATGACTTATATTGTTAATTGAAGTGTTGAAAGTCCTTCGAACGCAAATCATCGGACATATTTTGAAAATAAGAGTGGTTATTGTAATGCGCCAGTAACGGCAAAGTTTCTGAAAATGGGCAGAGCTACGGACTTGACTACAAAGTCCAACTGTGTCAGGCATATACATGTACATATACGCCCAAGCACATTCACAAGTGAATTTCACAAATAATATTTTTTCCATGAAGAAACGGCTTTAATTTATAAAAATGAAACGAAATACAGCCTTAGAACAAACAGAGAATATATATTCTTTAAAAAAGGGATGGGTAGGACTCTTTTTAAACGGACGTGGGATCTCAGAAAGCACAGAAGACTAAAAGATGCTACCGCGTGCCAGGCTCTCACACAAACAGGAATTCCTGTCTCTGTCTTCAACATTATCGTGTTGTTCTCTTGTACATATTATTTCTTTGCTATATACCCTATTCCTTTCTATGAATAATGAGCTAACGACTGCACAAATGAAAACAGATGGAGTCTCGTATACGGACAGCACATGTTTTTTCGGTCATGGTGCAGAATTGAATTCATTTACCGATGATAGCTGTTTGAAAACTCCCAAATGGAATCTTGCAGAGGATTTGGAGATGAAGCAACGGCAGTCATTATTTTCCGCCACGGCCCGTTGCGCTGAGTCGTCGACGGAGGGAAAGTCCCTTCGCATCCCACGGAGATCAATCAACAAGCCCAAGGCGCCGGGAATTAAAGGGTCGTCAGACGTGTGCTTTTGCAGTTAAAGGTTATTTTTGGCACAGAAATTAAATCCCATGTACTATTAAGTACTCTTAGTCACTATTGTCTTTAATTTTTATATCAGGATTTTGAACAATAAAAAGAAATGTTAATATTTAAGTTTTGAAAACAAAAGTCCGATGGTTGATTGGAAAGAAGCCCCTGTATGTACCGGTATGACATCTAGGAGTCCCCCCCAAATACATGTATGTAACTTAACGCTGATAATTAAGGACTATTGATGAATTATCGACGTTTAAGCATTAAAATCATTGAAAAAAAATCCCAACTCCATGTTTAAAGCAAGTTATTAACTTTGCAGCCAAACTGAAGTCTTCCAATACATTCCATACGTGGTTACCCAAGCCGAGACACAGTCAAGTGCAATATCAACTCAGAAATGCTATAAACCTGTCCACATTAGCATGTAGGCCTAAGACCAAACGTTACAAGAATGGTCCCATCCCATATTTTGTAAGTCTGCTGAATCATTAATCTGTTAAGGGTTGGTTTTTATTGATTTGTGATTTTTTTAGCATATAAGAGATATATTTTACCTTTTATGTTTTTCAGGAGGTCTGTTTTTAGAAATGCTGTTTCTATTTTTACGTCCACAGGCCAAGTCACACTTGGACCAGCATTAACAACAAGTGTAACGGAAATGTTTTTCGCCTTCCCCTTTTCAGTCTGTTTTATTCTCAGAACATCTTAGGACTCAATTAAAGAACTGTATCTGAATACAAAGAATAACTTCACAAACTGTACAAACAGGTGCTTGTTTGATATATACAAACTACCAGGAACCAGAACAACGACACAGAATTGCATCGGAAATAGTCTGGTATATTCTGTTTATATCACGTCTGGTCCTTTTTGTTCATTCTTCGGACTCAACCACGATTGTATACATTCAATATAGGCATTCCGACTTAACATATTTTATCTGACAAGTCTCAGTCTTCGGGTCTGGAGCCCAGAGCCTAGTTTTGAGGGCTTTTATGGTTCAAGTATATATTCCTCAGTTATTCCTCTAGTTATAAGTAGTCCTATTCCTCGACGATCGGCCAAGATATTTAATCTTTTGCACTGTTGGAAACGGGAGTCTCATGCAGAAGATTCGATGGGTACCCTGCCCCCACCCTGGAAAGGTGCCCCCCCGAAAAGCTTGTATTGCTACTCAAATAGGAAGGAAACATGCGTTTTTATTACGTTTGTAGGCGTAGAGCAACCACACAATGAATAGCCCCAAGTATTGTGGGTTTATTTCAACAATGAAACTTTTACAAGACAAGGCCACACCTGCTAAAATGCCCCCGAATTCACTTTAAAACAACAGTTAGTCATAGGTATCCTGTCTGAAATTCGGGGGGAGGGACATAATGGTTTTTAGCATGTTTGTATGCTTCCGAAAACAACACCATGGTCCCTTCCTTCGGCATTCGGGAACTTACTTGGACATTCACCGGGGAGTCATTTTCAATGGTTTTTCCTGAATTTATCTTATTCAATGTAATTTGTTAAATGGAGTGGTGCACAGTGGGTTCCAAGCCTCACTTTTCTCTAAATATTTAAAAAGCATTAATAAAAAAATTTCTAAATTGTTTCGCAGCTTCAACTGGTGTTAATTTGTAATGAACTTTTCTCTCATTTTTTACCCTTAGGTTCCAAAATAAAAAGTCAAACCCACTTTCATTTTAATGGGCCCTAAGCGGGACCAAAGGAGGGCGCTGTTTTCCTAGCAACGAAGGCTCCCTTCCTCGCAATGAATTCCAGTCCGCCGGTTCACGAACAACTATGGCACGCACGCGTTGGAAGGGTACCTGAAGGGACACGTACGCCCCCCCCCTCAATTCCAGGTGCCCCCAGGTGCTCCCCACTGGAAAAAAAAGATGAATAGATATTGAACAAGGCTAACAAAAACTTGCCCCAAAAAAACCACACCACCGAAAGCTGGTGCCCCCCCAAGATGCCGGTGCCCCCTTTGTGAGCCCCCCCTCGTAAAATCCCAGCTACGCCACTGGATGTATGGCGTTTGTGGGAGCATTCCAACCCAATAGAGCCAATTCGCTTCTCATCCTCAAACATTACTGTTGTCCTCGTAGGAAGTTCTCCACCTGAGGTTACGAGAAACAATCATTACACCCTACTGCCCACGACAAGTTTTATAAGGGTTACGTACTTTAAACTTTATTGCAAACCTCTGAACCATATACACACAGAAGTAATGCATGTTACAAGTTGCAAGTGGCAACTAATTTGTGTTCAGTTCATTATAAGTAGAACACAGAGAATTAATGTAATAACGCAGACGGTTGCAGATTGCATCACTGCTGATGAGGCGCCAATCCCGTACGGGCTGAAGACACGCTCTGTACGTAAGAAACAAAATTAACACACGATATTAGAGGGAGAAAAAAGATGTGGCGAAGTGATTGAAGACGGATGCACGTGGAATTAACATCGCAGTATCCAAAGCACACGATGTTGTGATAGAAATATTTCTAAACTGGGCCCACAGCGGTAAACACAATCTGCGAGGTAAAACAAAACAATACAGTGATATCCTGTGGGACAATAGATGGTCTCGTAAGGGATGACGTCACCGGTCACTCACTGACTGGCACGGTTTAGCGCTTATATACCCAGCAAGATATGGGACGGAGGTGTGTACATGGGTGTGTGTGTGGGGGGGGGGTTGCTCTCCGTCCTATATCTTGCTTCATAATCATCCTTGTTTCTTCATGTGGGACCCTATTGTGGACGATATGCACAGCGGATTTCTGCCTCATGTGTAAATGAACAATATTGAGCGGTTTACCGCTTGCCTTTAACGCTTTCTGTTATCGTTTGTCTTTGTAAATAGTATTCGGAACCTGCATAACTATTCGCATGACAGTATCGTCTGTCGGCTGTTTGCAGTCAAATTGCACCGTAACAATACAGCCTGGCCCACACACCCCACATCAACCAAAGGTAGCGTGGTCGGTCAACATGTCGTTTGCTAAACTTTCTGTAGGCCCTTTTGAATCTGACTTTGAACAGATTATTTCATTGCAGATAGGCACCTATACAAACTAAATCAATTTCCACACCAAAAGAGGGAAATTGATGAAAGTACAGGGACTGCACTTCATTGCGAGGGGTTCCAGGGCAAATAAATAGGAATTTTTACCCGTGTTAACCACCGATGCCACCTTCTGGTCCACGCCGAACTGATTACTGCCCGTACACATGAAATGTGTGACGTTAAAATTGCCCGGAAGACGCCGGATGGACAGCGTGGACAGCATGGTCACGTGGTCCAGTGGTCTTGTCATCAATGTGACGTTATTAACCATGTCACTGCCCCAAATTCGGTTGCCCTGGTAACTCCAGAAGACTTCGGCGTACGGAAATCCCTCAACGATGCACTGAAGCTGCAGAGGGCGCCGTGAGTTCGCGTTGTACCAATTGTAAGGCTCAGTTTGGACTGAGATATTGACTAAAATAATGCAGAGTACATACATATACATGAAACTATATACATGTTTCAGGAAAACAAGTCGTAGAACATTACTACGGAATCGTAGAAGGGCCACAATGAAACAGTTTTTTTCAAAATTGCTTCCTCGCTGTGGGGAGCTATTATCTCGCCATCTTGTTTGTACGTCATCGCCTGTGGGTTAATTGTTGGAATGTCAAGTAAAACTTTAGTGGATTTGTCCGTAAATTCTTAATCCAACTCAAACCTATCGCAGCTAGACAGATTTGAAAATTAATTTTCGTTGTGGCCTTTCTATGCTCCCATATTTCACGGTCCTTTGAGACAAATGTTTCAGCAGGGGTTGTGGCCTGATGCTCATATTTTGGACGGAATAAATCGGCATTGACTGAGTCTTCTTTCATTTATAGATGCTGTTGAAGCGAGAAACATTGAAAGTTACCGGTCTCATTTCAGTCAAGAAGCTTTTTTATGACCGCTCGTTCTGAATCTACTTTCAAATTTATTGGTCTTAAGATAAATACTCTACTCCTCAAACAGTGTAACGTAGAGGGCGCTTGCCAAGATATCCAGCCACGATGTAATACTTCACGGTTTATGTGTTGATGGTTGGTCTTGAGTTTTCATTTAAGTCATAGAAAACGTGGAAATGACTGAACAGTTGGGTGAAACACATATGGAGATCGAGCTTGGAACCTATCAAATAAACCTTAAAATTAAAAGGGTATGGAGTTGAGGGCACGTGGGTTTGAAAAAGGATGAAAACTAAGAATCCACAGGAAGATGAAATTTACCGTAGACTTTGATGTCATTAGACAAGTAGTTGATTCTACCATACACAGTGTACCTCACACGACAGGTGTATGTCCCACCAAAGACAGGCTGTGGATTGATGATCGTGAGGGATCCGTTGGGTGATATAAAAACATCCGGAGAACCGTTGGCATCGACGTCTATAAATCCCTATCAAAGGACAGAGTGTTAATTTTAAGATACTCGGGTACAATGATGACGATTGATCTAATTAATTGTGAGGATGATTTGCTGATGCTGGGGCCTGCCAGTGACGGCGATTGGGAGTATTGATGGGATGGTAGGTAAGGAATGCTTGTGTTAATTGAGAGAGACGTTGGTCACCAGGGGAGTAACCGCGGGGGGAAGTCGGGAACTTTTGAGCTGGGTAGAATCCTGCACACTTTCACGGCATGGTAAAAAAGTGCGTATTTTGAGGATAATTTTCGAACTTCCAAAGTGACAAAATGTATTTGCTATTTAAACTAGTTTCAAAACTGTACGCCTTCGGTCATGATGGCGAGTACGACAATGACGGTTGCTTTGGTTGGTGGGCGTCGCTCTGGTGGTTGATGGGTGGTGCTCGCGATGATGTTACTGCTCAACATGGCAGTTGAGAGAGTTAGTCTTCATTGCAATGCCTAACACTGCCATCATGAGTGCTCAAAGGGATGATAATTGAGACAACTCCCCAGAAAATGGAAAAATATTCAAAAGAATCTATTGGGTAGAAATGTGTACAGCCAGGGGGTTCAACAATACAGCTAGATCTATAGGGGTCGAGGATCCAGTTTTGAACAGCGCTCCCAGCTTGATTTCTAGCGGCCCGCCAGTGAATTGTTGTTCCCTCAGAATTCAGATATAACTGTGACACTTACCCTTGTACCCACAAAGCGACCCTCTTTGTGCCAGAAAATTTTGGCCCCGTACTCGACGAGGTCCGGCGTCATCTGGCACATCAGTGTCATGTTTTTGTCCGGAGACAACAGCTGAGCTGGACTCCCACTGACCTGTGGGCCTGTGGAAAGGATCGTGGGGAAACAGTGTCAATGCTCGTATTTTGGAAAGGGAGGGTTCACTTTTCACTTGTCGCATTGTCGACTTACTTTTGCTATGTCATTCTTGAAAGGAATGCGGTTTTGCGACCTTACGTGCGTTTCTCTGAAGCTCACTTAGTTGCTACCGACACGCTCTCATGGAAGATTTGCTTTTCATTCCCATAACTCTCGAAAATGCACCTTTGTGGTTGTTTGGTTGACAATACTTTCAATTTTGATTTCGCTGTGTTTAATTAAAAGGGCATTTTGGTGCCAATCGAGTTTTCATACAAATCCGGTTTTCAATATTGGAAAAAATCTCGATGTTGCCTTGAATTGTGCACAAAAGGTGGTGGAATTATAAGATTAAAAGCTTTCCTAAATTTGCGTTTCTTGGGGGATTCATTGTTGATCGTTTCCTGGAAATTTTTTCCGATGAGCAAATTTAGGTTCACAATGTAAACAGAAAAAAAACCTACGACCCGATCAATGCTTTCCCTCCTTTTCATCACAGCCAGAACTCCTTAATAGTTGCCGGGAAAGTAATGAAAATGCGCTTACATCCCTAAAACAAAGTCAATAGTTTCATACACTAAAAAAGGAATCACTGAATGAACTCTTTACAACAGCGGTAAGAGAGACAGAGAGACAGACAAAGAGAGAGAGAGGACCAGTCTTCCAAGACATTGTAATGTGAGTGCACACTTCGGACAACCTACGTTCATATATGGTGACGATCACGGTAGATATGCCTCTGCCGGGGGGCATCACACGACAGCTGTAGCGCCCGCTGTCGCTGACCCTCGTGTTCAGAATGGTTAAAATTGAGAAGGAAGCTGTGTCCATCCGGTTGACATTCTCGTCGATAGTTATTCTTGATCAAATCGAAGAAAGTATAGAAAAAAAGTATCCTTTAAATAACGATAGGCCTGTCAGTGTCAGTGTTGTAACAAGGGGATAAGTGTGTGTTTGGCGGGTCTGAAAACAGAGTTTTGATTTGTTTTTTCAAATTGTTTCTTGGTTGTTGACTAAAGTAGGTTTTTGGTTATTCTTTTTCTGCAGTCAAACGCTTTTCCATGTTGCGTCTCTTTTTAAGACCTCGCAACACGTCCTTACTTGACCCCTCGTTATTTCAGAGTGAGATTCTTTCTGTTTGTTGCAAGCGAACCTCCCCTCCCATGTTTCATTTTTCCAGGATACAAAGTGTCCTCTAGTCGCATATGCACCGTGAGCGTGGTTAAAAAACTTCGCACGAGCTTGTCTAATCAGCTTTGTCTATCTCAAGGGTACATTTCAACTCAGGGCACTTGTGGAGAATTACAGACATACGGTAATGATATGCAAATATTATTTACAAAGTTCCGTCTCATGTGAATATCGCGTGGCGGCAAACCGCTTGTCGTCGACGTTTTGCGTTTCCGCTCATTTGCGTAAATAGAACGCTATGCAAATTGTTGACAGTCAGGCTAATAAACGTAAAGGGAACCTCCTAAAGGTCTACCCACCTAGGATTTGTGTCTGGTATTTCTTGGTCGTTTTTTGACCACACAATGTCCACTGGTTCCCCCATGTAACTGGCATCACAACGAAGCTTCTGGTGAAGTCCCTGCAAGCTCTGAATTCCCTCCGGTGGAGATATACGGACGTCTGTGGTACAGATTGAAAAAAAGCAGTCGGAAATTCAACAAGCGACAGTAACGTTGACCTCATTAGAAGAAGACGTGTCCAAGCGTTTAGGGCTTAGAAGTTTTGAAAATAATCAAACAAACTAGCCTGATTTCACCGAATAATTGACCACATCAGCCTGGGACGAGACTTAAGGATGGACATATTCAAGTGCTTCGTAATCTGGTATTATGTTCGCTGACAGTACCACTGCGACATTCTCTTTGAATAAAATAATTATGTTCACACGGCCAGGGATTACCACGAAAATGTCAGCACGCACGACACCTTCGCGCAGAATCGCTAGGCCTACGTGTATATAGATAACTGATCGCAGCAGTAAAATATCCTTTGCAGCGTACGCATGGGATTCACAAAGCTGAAATAGAGGGAGGCTTAGTTGGATGGGACTGATGGGATACAAGTACGGCACAGCACGAGCGAAGCTGGGTCTCTATACTTCCAAGGTTGACCTTGAGGCTTGAAAGTTACTTTTTCCATGTATGAGCGCATAATTATTATTAATTGTTAGAAAAACGGAAGTCATTACTTACAAGATGTACGTGGTTCAAACTGTGCCAGGGTAGATGATAGGAACTGCAGTGTCACAACGAGAAGGAGGTGATGCATCCGACACTTCATTGTTACTCAAAGTAAAAGCAGTCCGGAGAAAACTTCATAGGCATCTGAGGCTGAAATTTACGAATTTAGATCTCAGTAAGAAGTACAGTCAAACTTATGGGATGTCACCTATCAATTACAATTTCTGTTGGCACGTATGTTCGGTTCAAGAACCCTTTCCTGCCTTTCTGTTACCCGACCTAGACCGGGGGGGGGTCGTCAAACCCCCCAAAAGTGGAACTTTTGGCACTGTGAACATATATTTTTATACAAATCATAATGCGCTTTGGAACACAACATTGAACAAGTTCCATGTTTGTCGCGAACCGAAGGATGCATTGTAAGACTTGTATAGGCTCCCTACTTCAGTTTTCAAGATTCACGGCGTATTTTAAATTGGCCTGGTAATGAATTTGCTCTTTACTCTACACCTTGAATCAGGCGCTGGGTGACGGCGAGCGAATGATATGAACATTGTAATGTATTTTAGGGCGCATGTCATTTTGCACTTCGGAAAAAAACCTGGAAAATCGGACCAAATTAACATGTCATCGGAACTTTGTAGCGGGTATATGAAATCGACATTTATGAATCAAAATATTTTGAGTTTGATTAAATTTCACCATTTGTGAAATTGGAGATAAAATGTTGCTCCATACACAAACGTGAGAAGTGAAATTTCGAAGTGCCCATTGGGTCTGCGCCAGTTTCTAGTGCGCATTCTTCAATTGTAACGTGAACCAGCGCACGAACGAGTGTTTTCAATACGCCTAAACTTTTTCAAGTCCTCGATAATACGAATTTTAGTGGGCTGGATTAGTGTCCTGAGTCTTCGCTTGGTGGGCCATGCAGCTGTTCTTTTTACGACCAGTAAATTGGTAAACAGCATGGATTACACAACCATAAAAGACAAAAACAAACAGACGTACCACACAATATGTGAGGTGCGAACGGTACTTATAGGGCATTAACAAGTATATTCAGTCTTTCTGGACTGGTTTCCTTCATTTCCAACACGTGGGTAGAGCCATTGTAAACGGCAACCAATGAAAACATGACTTGCCCCCGCGCGCAGAACGCTGCGCCGCGCCGCTGGTACGCGTGGCTGATCGGCTGCGGCGGCCCGCCCCGGGTTAGGCTGCGCTGAGGCATGTTTAGTGACTGATTTCGTTCTTTAAACGTTGCTGTATAAACCGCCTGCAGTTCATTATAAACCGCAGAGATATTTTCCGCGTGAGCATCAATGTATAAACTGCAGCTTACATTCCGAAAATTGTAGCATATTAAAATTATATATTTATTACCAAAAGATAAATAAAAAACACACCATCGAGCGGAACTTGGAAGCGGGGGGGGGGGTTCGTTCAAAACCCCCGAACCCCCCCCCCCCAGCCTACGGGCCTGTATAAAGTTGCCGAAAATTGTTGCGTTTTGCCCTGATTTATGCACGGCAAATAAATAACGTGACTGACCATGCCCGTTTCAAGGTATGTGAGGATCAGTTATAAAAGCCGGTACAAGCATGGAGTTTTGCAGCGCTCTATTAAAAGGCAAAAGAGTAAAAAAAAATCACTCTAAAAGAGAGTGAGTCCTCAATAAAACCGATCCAAAAGAGTGAAATTCCCATCCTCACAAGGAGTTACGTAAAGGACAACTTAAAATAATTTTCCTTGTAGGCCTATGGTTCCTCTTTTTGAGTGATTTCAGTCTCTTCGGGAGTGGAGTGGTTTGCACTGTCCTTAGAGTGGTGTGATTTAAAAGAGACTCGCTCTTTTTGAGGGTGAGGTTTCACTTCTTTGTTTTTAGAGGTGTGACATAATGGCTGTCAAAATACTAAAGTCCGCAGAGAGCAGTTTCCGTGAATTCGTTTCAGACCAACGGCTTGTACGCGGGTCGTTGACATATATGTACATGTATAATGTCTACTGTTCAACACAGCTATAACCCCCTGCCCTATGTCATGTACTTTGGTCTAGCGAGTTGACAAACAGAGACATTGACAGCCTGATATCCATAAGTTCATGACTAAGTTTCTTTCCTACCCGATGTCTCAAAGGACGTTGAACGTAAACGTGAATCACACCCTGTACCTGCGTACCTAGTACCCAGTATCTACAGTGCATGACAATGGAAACTTCCCCCCGTCCCATCGAAGTACCGTGCGACTAGAAGTTCACTCAATTTCTATTTATGTCCACTGTTTGATCTCTTCCCTGATTGATCTCTTCCCTGATCTCACGAGAAACGCCGCCATTTCGGGAGATGGTTTGTTGTGATGATAGCTGTAACGCAACAGAAATGCCTCCTATAAATTCAGTGCTTGTTTGTTTATTTTCTCAACAACAAAGACATCGTAATTCCTCACTGTTTGTGACAGAATCTCTAGTCCCACTCGACCAAAGCCCAACAAAAAACTTCCGGTTACGATAAAGAACGGATCCACGAACCAAATTTTCGGGGGGGATCCAAACTTGTTTTCTTTTTTATTGGGGGGCAAACTTGTTTGGTCGTTTGCTTTCATGCAACCTTTTATGGCCTTTCTGAGGGGTAACGCTACATTTAAGGACTTCATACACGCTTTCCAAAGAAAGGGAAATAAAGTATACCAAAACATTTGCGTTTCTATTATTATTAAAAGTGATATGGCTCCTTTGAGAAAAGCTTGTCCCCGTCAGCCCCCTCTCACCGAACCGCATTTGCCTGCGATTTGCTTCAGTCTTGCTACCATGGCGTCTGAATTGAAACGTGGTTTTCAAGAATAGGCCTACTAGCTTAGACACTTACCACTCTGTAGTCAGGGTAGATGTTCGTCACATAGATGACTCAGTTGGCACAAAGAATAAGTGTCCTCGCAGTTGACATGAAGGTATCACATCTAGACCCTAGATGACCACTGTTTCGCAGAGCTCCAACTTCTGTCGGCTAATTTATTGAATGTGTCACCAAATGATAACTAGCTGACAAAAACTCAAAGGAGGTTTACCTATATCTCAACTTCATTCCTTGTCCTTGACAGCAGAAGTTTCCCTCTACCAGCTACATATCACATACAAACAAATATCAATCCTCAAGAACTAAACTATTTCGGGACTTTTTATTTCCGAGGCTGTTTGATGGATACAGGGCTTGGGGAAAACAGACCGGTTAAACGCACTTATTCGTAGAGTACTTCCATTTTCCATGAGGTTTACCGACTCTTTCAATCTGTGGGTGGCGACCCCTGACAGATGCGTCATATCCTTGAGCCCCTTCCCTTTTGTGTATGTCGCGATGCCATCGACGTGGGGCTTAAAACGTTCCCGTTGAATATACTTAATTTATTTTCTTCTTTCATTCTGATAGAATATAAGTTAAAGATATGCATTTGTGAGCGTGTCCGTCTGTATTTAGGTGAGTGTTCCCGTGGGGGTGTCGGGCTCTCAGTGGGGGGTATAGGCCGCCCTAAACATGTAGATTACGTACCCGTTCCCCAAACATTCTGATTATGTCCTCCAAAAACGCAATAAAAACAAACTAATTATTGTAGGCTATACAGCTTTGTAAGATCCAAATGGTATCAACTGGAAAAAGTGATGAGCAAAGAAGGCAAGGCGGCGGGCCACTAAAGGCGAAAGAGTGAAAAACTCTCTCTCAAAAAGAGTGAGTCCCTTATAAACCCTCTCGTGTTTAATTGTAGCGATGCTGGTGTGAACCACCCTCTACATGCATAAAATACAGTCGAGTTATAAATAGCCCCGATTTTATTACTCATCAATCTTTTAAGTGGCGGATGGAGTCTTGATATAGGGGAAATATGACCTTGCAATCCATGGGGAGGGAAGACTTGGCATCACTTGCTAGCGTCTCTTTGTACGGTACTGAAACAGTCGGAGTGCTAGCAGTGACCCTCTTGATTAAGTCAGGGGGCATCAACTCTTTCAAAGTCGCGCAAGTTCTTATGCCAGGCTGTGTCCCTCGTTTATTCTTTGACAGACCCTACTAGTGTGCACACGCAGCTAATGTTTATATAAATTTGGCCAATCAGAGTAAGGGAAAGGAGTGTCATCACTGTGTAGCAGCCACCGACCAATGAAATCCAAGACACTTTCGGACCTCCAAATGCACCGTAAGAGTGAAATACCGGCACTCTCAAAAAGAGCGAGTCCCTAATAAAAGCACTAGAAAGGAGTGAAAACCAGTATAAAAAATAAGTAAAACCACTTTTAAAAAGTGAAAAACACTCGAATAGACTTCCGAGGCCGAGGAGACATATAAAGGACAACCTTTAAAAAGCAACAGACAGGGCAAGGATGATAGCTGTAGACCTCTGAAATGCGGGGGAGGAGGTAATTCGGCATGGTCGTTGCCAGGAAGGGGCAAGCATTCACCAATATGGCAGAGTGAAAAACCACTATGCGAGTACTGTGGAGGGCGGTAAATGCGGAGGCATTTTCGTTTGTTACTTCTGCACCTTTTCTTGTGTATTCTTCTGTCTATATTTCAAGGGAGGTATGTCGTTTCCTGTTGCCACTCAACGGGTGTCATAATTATTGATCATAGCTTATACATGAAACTGCAAACATGAGGCTTTGCTGCCGGAACAGTTGGTATTTTGGTGAATCAGTTAGATACGTATGCCATATTTATCCTCACATGTCACCCTGCTTGCGTGTTCGGTGCAACTATACTACATATTCCAGTTATGATTTTCCTCAGGGCAAAAAGGAGACGCATTGTTTCCACGGTGACCAATCGGGTTTGAAATCATTCGCAACGTACCCATGCACGACTCTTGAATTAGGAATCAGCCAACTTCAGATCGGACCATCGGGAGAAACCATTTTTTTTTCTCTCGAACTCATGATTAGTGCAGTAGCAGTGTCCGGACAAAATGGCATTTACAACATCAGCTATTGTCAAGAATGGATTTTTATTCTGGAGGCTTTTCCCGGGTACTGTAACGTGTTGTTGTGGCACAGCTGCACCAAATTCTGCCGTCCAAAAACGACAGGCTGCGGCAGCGACTGTATAATACACTTCTATAGGGGAATGGTTGTAGTCACAACGCACAAGAGCCTGGCTTCCCTGAACATGTACTATAATAGGCCACGTCCAGCAGCAGCGGTAACAATCGGACAGTTTGAAACAGAATGCTTAATCTGCATCTACCGTTATTTATAAACGGTTACTTTCCCTTTATTTTCCCTAATTTGTAGCAGGAAATAAATATTTTAAAAGGAAGTAAATGAAATGATATTTATGTTTATATACATTCATTAAGTTGTAAAGTTCGTGATCAGCACGTACGAAATGAAGCTTTGCGGCCCTTTAAATTCAATTTCCCATAACCCTTGACACAAAATGGATTTCTCTTATGACGTCCTGCGGTCCCTGTGAAGAGAGTTAGAGTTGATTCAAATTGTTTATCATTTTTACAGACTATTAATATATTACGCCTGTGAATTCTTGGCGAATTATCCCAAATTTCGTTTATACGCCAAAATAATCTGACAGTTTTTTATATTTGTATGCTGTTTTCCTGTCAACTGAATCACAAAACATGCTCTTAATGATTCGGACAAATTAAATTCATTCGCGGTGAGAGTAGTAACGGCTGGAAAAGCGTTTAAAAATTAACATGAGCTCCTCTTTTTGCATGTGCTTAACCCATTCACCAAATACGGACGGGTCATCGTTCGTTTCGCGTTACAGCTCTCCATTTACGGAAGCTGATGTGCATATATTTATGTTGTGTGGGTTGCTGTACGTCTTTGTTTAAATTCGTGAACAGGGACATCGTGTCTTGAACAAATCTGCTGAGATGCCTTGAGAAATGGACCATTTGAGTTACGGGGGTGAAGATGAAGATTCTGCCATTGTCCCAAGGTGACCATTGCAAATGAAACTTCAGATTGGTTTTGGGGTGTCGTTGCAGCACTTGTCACATTCATGGCTGTTTGTTGATAAGCCAGCGTGTAGAGTAGGCCTACAGTGCGACAATCATTGTGACACTGATTGGTTCCGCTGAATCGTCAGCTGTTCACTTGACTGTCTAAAAATTCTTGTGATGGAGCTGAACCTTTTCTCGCAAATGTAACCATTTAAATGTCTGTTAATTTACATTATTCGGAATAAAAAACTTTGGAAATTGTTGGAACATTATTTTGCGGCAAATTTTTGGCAAGACATGTGGGACAAGTGTGAAAAGATGAAATTCTTTCCCTCAGGGTCGGTAGTACTACCATTTTGTCACCAGGACAGGTCTTCCCGTAGGGAAACAAACCCCAAATGTTACCTACATGTAGCAAAATAGTTTGCACTTGAATGAAGTCATTTGACTGAGTGATATGACTGAATTGCCTGTCATGTGGCAAAAGATTTCTGTCCATATGCCAGACTTCCGAACTATGGGGCTCTGCGTTGAGTCTCTCTCAGCTCGGAGAGAGGTGGAGTGAGGAGTCCATGTGGCCATTGTTCTAGGGGGACATGTGGGACAGTTCTGCATTACCTTTCGATCATGTGATGCAGTTTGTATGGTACACTACCAAGCCTGGAGATATGAAGCAAAAAACGCGCTGAACACACCGTTAAATAAAACTTCCCGTGCCCCCCCTCGCAGTAAACACCAACGGCCATTTTTTTTTACAGCTGATAATGCTTGATGCAGACCTCCATGCTATTGTGTTGTCACCACAACAAAAAATATGCCCCTATTTAGTATGAGATGCAGTATGCATGATTCGGAATCGTCAAACATATCAAAAGTGATGGGTACAAATTACACCGATGCCTGCTGAGTGTTTGGTCCAGTTATCTGCCCCCAATCAGGACCAGGAGGGGTACAGTATTCCAAGCAGTGGAGGGGCCTTTGATGGGAGCTGCACTTAGCTTATTCACAAACGACTGTGAAATGTATGCATTACAGTCGCACCTCTCTCATTAAAATGAACCCTTCTCATCAACATGGCTCTTTCCAACTGATGAGGGGGTGCTTCTGCTCAATTTTTGATTTGATTTGATTTGATTTGTTTGCCTTTCCACGTACAGTAAAACAATAATAGAAAGACTAAATGTACAGTAAATGCATTAAAAAGTACACTATATACCAAGACTGATTTAATATACATGTACGATGTGAGACTAACGTGAAGGAAAATGAGTGGGTAAAGGCAAATTACAAATCAAACCCACAAGTCTGCCATCAAGCACTGTGCTTCAAGTGTTTACCTTGAGTAAAATGCTAGAAGCCAGTTGGGGCCTTATACATTTGGCCAGAGTGGGGTTGATAAACCGTCACACCACTGTTAAAAAAACACACCATTGTTATAATAACTTCATACTTATGGTACATGTAAAACACACAAACAGTCGTCCCTGCTACAGAGATTTTGCTCTGTTCATAACGTGTCCACTGCAGATTTAGACAAGCCAGATTTATTGTAATGATGTTAGATACATGTACGTCTGTGGGCTGTACAGACTTTGTGCATTCTGAAACACGCACTGTGCCAAAACACTTTTTAGAAAAAAGGGTGAAGGGCCTCACATTCCAGTACCTTAATTTGAGTAGGCTCAAACTTGATGCTGCCAATACATGTATGTATGGTAGGTACATGTATGTTGACGGTACATGTATTTGCTCAATAAACTGACCCCTGGCAAAATATAATTGTGACTAAATGTCACAAATGTTCAAACTGACAATACCTTCTTGCCAAGATGGTACCGTTATTGTCTCCACACTTGAAAACTACTAACTGATATTTAAAACAAAGAACAAGCAAATAGCTGAGTCAGGGTACCACACAGGGTCAGCCACCATGAACCAGTAAGACCCTCTTAGTGTGTACAGAGCCAGTCAGGTCTTCTGTAGTGTAAGGATGTGCACATCCATCACCTGTTGTACTGTGTACATTGTGTTTATTTGCTAGAACTTGTCTGCATACATGTACACCCTCCATGCCATTGCTATTGGAAAACACATGTTTCCAATGGCGCTTTCAAAATCCTGTTGCTGAGTAATGCGCGCGAAGTGATAACAGTCAAATCCCAGACCGTCATACTTGATGCATGTTTCCCTTGTGCATCAGCTTCATCAGAATTTCATTGATTTGTCTTCTTGCTTTTCTTTTCCAACTTCCAGGGCCAGAGGCCAGCTAAATTTCAGAAAGGTGAAAAGGACCCGCATGAATGTGGATCACCTCACAGACGAGGAAAAACGATTGAGGAAACGCTTCCTGGGCCGGGAGAGGGCCCGCCGATACCGCGAGAGGAAACGAGCAACCGAGTCATCCCCTGAGGAGTTGATCGATACCAGTGGATTCCAGAAAGCCCCGCCAAAACCAAGGTGTGTTGGTCGACCCAAGGGCTCACGCACGAAGAAGAAAAGGTTGATCCTTTTGACGCCTCAGTCTAAAAAATTTGAAAGGGGAGCTAAAGAAGGCAAGTCCTCTTCTGTCTTGTTCCTCAGACATTCCTCTCTATCAACCTCTTCCACCAAGGAAGCTGTTAAACAAAGTAACTCTGAAGATGCTACATGTTCACTGACTGTACAAGACCCTGGTACATCCGTTACTTCCTTGATAGTTAAAAACTCAGCTCCACCCACAAAAGCACATGTGAGCACAGGTGCCAAAAGTGCAGTAGCAAAAACGGGTGTGATTGTCACAGTCGGAAACAGTCTGCAAGGTGACGTAACTCTGATCAGAGATGGCTCAGTTGAAAATTACCTGAATAAACAAGATGCAAAAGGTGAAAGCATGAGTGAAGGCCCAGTTTTTCTTGATGACCAAAACGACTGCCAGCTACATGTATATAGGGAAATTGAGGCAAGCGTGAATGAGATGGATTTGCAAGCTGGCCAGGGTCACAGTGGTGAAAGTCTCCCAACTTTTGAAGAGCCAAGAGCTTCAGATGGTACTGAAAACTCCCTTGCTGATGGTAAAGTGCTCAGTGCCGATCTTAAGAACCTCTCAACAAACTGTGGCCTAAAACGACAGACTGAAACTCGGATTCGGAGAAGGAGGAGGAGGTTCAGACAGCAAAACGTGAAAGACTTTATCAATTTTTTCCCAATTGATGACCTTGGAACAATTGACGCAAAGTCTTTTGTGACTGGTTCATGCAGCATGCAAAGACAGGTTGAGTGTGTGCCGTCTGTTAAAAGGCTCAATGCACTGAAACAGAGTGGTTGCGAAACAACTTCTAAAATGGCATCAAGCACAGAGAGTGTCAACAGTGAAGGCTTAAGCTATCCAAACCAGATGAGAGACACCAAAGAAAATGCCGTGAAGCTTCTGGAACCTGTCAAATCAAAGGATACCACAGAAGATTCATCACCAAGAGAGAAGATTGTTGAGAAGCCACCTACAGTTTCCCCTGTTGAATCCGTCTTGACTCAACCGACAGGTCCTATTTCTGAAACTCCCATCCACCCCGCTCTTCCTGTGAGCTCTTTGCCAGTTGTTTATGAATCAACATCGGCACAACCCTTCACTATGTTGGGGTTGAAACTTCCGCAGACATTGCAAGACGTTCAGATCTCTGGCCTGCTGCAGCAACAGCAGTTGATAAATGCAGCTGCCAGCATCCAACATGTCCAAGGACTGAACACTCTCGATGTAGGCAGTCCATCCAACATTGTGAGTGTCCCCAAACTGTCTGAAAACAAAGGTGCACCAAGCCTCCAAGGAACCGATGGCTTGTCAACCCTGGAAGGGGTTGCGGGTGTTCAGGGGCTCTCAGGAGTTCAGGGCATTGTTGGGAACTCTGCCTTGCAAGGCCTTCAAGGGGTTACCGACCCCAGACTTCTTCCCCTGGCGGGACTGCAAGGTGTCGGGGGCCTCCAAAATATTGCAAGTCTGCAGGGTGTACTGGGAGGCTTTCAGGGGCTTACTGGTCTCCAAGGGGTTACAAATCTTCAAGGATTTGGATGCCTTCCAGGTCCCACCAGCCCAGCAGCACTGGTTGGTCTTCAGGGCTTCCCAGGCCTTCAAGCAGTCCAGGGGCTTCAGGGGATTCCAAGTCTCCAGCCGGTGACTGGCCTGCAGGGGTTAGTAAGTCTGCCAGGGGTTGCAGGTCTCACAGGGATCCAGGGTCTCCAAGGGGTCGGTCTAGCAGGTATGCAGTCGGCCCAGGGACTACAAGCTGTGGCAGCCCTACAAGGAAGTGCGTACCTTCAAGGTGCCCCAGGTCTGATGTTGGGACTCCCAAATCAAGCAGGGGCATCAGGTCAACAGGAATCGTTAGCTAGCACCTCAGCCGCTGCTCAAGAGGACACAGCTTGTCAGGAAGGGGGAACAGGCCAAGGAGTCAAGGCTGATGGAGATCAAAAGATGAGGGCTGATCAGAAGAAAGGACAGCTTTGTGAGTCTGGCATTGAAAGCATTGAAGATCAAAGGTGAGAACAGTTTAGTACATGCACCAGTACACATACAAGTGTGAATCGTACCCAAATTTATGCATTCATGTACATGTACCAGTACCGATTTTCTGCTTTACATCTGTGACCCACAATTTCAAAACCAGGCTGAAGTACATGTAGATGATTGTGATTTTTGACAATTCCTCTCTCCCAGCCAAAGCCAGGTGCTCGTGTTGGGGTCGAAGGATACTGCCGCTGTCGCATCAACCCCAGAGAAGGTGCATCAACCACAGAAAGGTCGGTCGAGACGAAAGCAAGCCAGCCCCCGTTGCATCACAAAACAGCTGGGCTCATCATCGGATTCCAGGCTTGATACAGATGATGAAGAGAACTACACGCTCTTTACAGGTTTGTGAGCAGTTTATTATTTGGACATAGTTCCGTGGAAATGTTATCCTGGATTTCAAATTGTTTTTCAGAGAAAATGATCATATTGGGCACTGTGGCGAAGGCAGTGATGTTGGATCATTAATAAACTACCAAGCAACATAACATATAGCAAGACCCTATCTTTAGAACATGTATTTCATGCATGATTACCTCTCGTTTGCCCACTTCAGTGAATTTCATTCCACATTGTACCCCAAAAAGGGAGTTTGCGAAGCTGTCAGTCTGTGTGGCAGCACCTAGCTTTACCTGGTCCTTGCAAAGTCCACATTTCTCAAGAAACGTCTTTGGAAGAGTTGCTCTTCCAAAAGAGAAATGGTCTGTAAAGTACAGCTCCAAACTTATACCAACAGATGACAGAACAAGATGCATGTACATGTACGCTATGAAAATTCCTTCCAGTCAGCCTGTTACCCATGGAGTTGCTCATTTGCATTAATTTATGGAGCATTTACAGTGTATGTACTGCAGTGTAAGAACACAGTGTATATCTTACTTTAGACTGATCCAGTAAGCCCCGCTCATAGCATACATGGGTGCTTAGCGTGTTCTTTTCTCCACTACCACAATACAGGTTCCTGCCGCATACATCATATGCGCGTGCATGCATGTTGGACATAAATCACGGCTGTTATTGGTCAGAAAACATGGCGTAGGGCTCAATGGATCAGTTTTATGATAAGTGGTACTTAAGCACTGTGCTTGACTCACATCATCCGGTTTCTTTCTCTCAGGCACAGTTTTTGTACCATTCACTTGAAATTAGTCGCTGGTCATGTCTTCACTACTGACAAATAGAGAAGTTTGAGCAAAATTCCAGTTTCATTTCTTCTGTGCATTCAATGCCACTGTAAAGTTTGTTACAAAACTTGCAACATTTCTAAAGAGTACTTTCCGCACAAGTATTCATTGATATGTGCGAAAAGGTTTTGTGAATTATATTGGAAATCTTTGTGTGGGAATTCCTTTTTTCTGATCAACACTGGAAAATTGGTTGATTTTGTTGCTTCTAGAAGACAGTCTGCCAGATGACAGCAGCCAGAGTGGAAGTTCACTGTTCTCATGCAGAATATCGCCCGAGTCCCTGACCTTGGATGCTGGCACTGGAAGCACTCCGCAGAAGGACGCCAGTTCAAGGTCTGCTTCCAAGGCCACAATGGAGTCTCCCAGGCCAGGGGCAAAGCTGTCCAAGAAAGTGGAAGAGTTGATGAGGTGAGAGTAGGCTAAGGGCAGAAATGCCTGCTTTGATGAAGAGCTGTAAGCACATTCCTGGCCACATAAATAATGGCTTACACAGTCATGAGCCAGCTCCCTTGTTTGCTGGTCACCGGGCATGCATGCAAGGATCAGCGCACATGTCAAATAGAAGTTAGTGGACTAAATTCTCACTTTTTAGTGGAACTGTATGCACACACAATCATCGCCCTAGCTACGCGTGACATGATGGCCACACACTTAAGTTGATGAGTGTCTTATTGAGGCCCGAACTTGTAATAATATCTGAGTATGTATGAGTTATGGCCAAAAAATTTAACACGGTTCAACATGATTGATGTTAGCTCACTTTCGCACTTGAAGTTGAAAAGCTAGTTTGTCAACTTCCAATACCCTGGTAAGATCAACTTGACGATCCATCCTCACACCATGTTGTATTCGTATACTCAGACTGCACCGACGGAGCCTGTTCTTACCTTTCCACCTTATCGTGCTTGCCAATTCTCTCAAGTAGCGCAACCAAGCCTCACCGCAGCCTGGACATAGACTGCTCTTCTGCTGACCCCGTGGACGAGGAGTCACCCTCCCCACAGACCTGGAGGAGGTTCTTGGAGCGGGAGAAACAGCGAAACGATCGGCTGAGGGAGGTGGAGGAGCAGCTGGCTCACTTGCAGGCCCACGCTGCTAGGTCAGTCAAGACTAATTTCAGGAGATGCCATTAATGGGCCCTTAGCTGGACCAAGAGAGGCGCAATGTTCCTAGCAACGCAGGCTCTTCTGGTGGGAACTGCACTTCACTGGTTCGCAAATGACTATGAAATGCATGCATTATGCTTGCATCACTGTAATTATTATAATTCTTATCAGTGTTGTATCCGAGACCTTGATGTCCTTGATGACCAGGTCTCGAGACCTACAACACTGATTCTTATTAATGATTTCTCGTAATGACACCAAGGATTTTTCAAAAGCACCCTGGGCACTGTAGCGTGCAAGCCCAAAGAAACCGGTAAAGAGGACATAATGAGAAGCAGTAACAGTTGTAGAGGTGGGAAGAAAACCCAGAAGAATATTCTGGGTAAAACCTACGGAATCAGATAGGGACTGAAAACCCAATCCGCATGTAGACCGAGTCAGGAATCGAACCCGGACCCCAGAAGTGGAAGGCGAGGAAAGAACCACTTTGCCATTAAACCCGACACCCCTCACCACTAACAATGTGAATGCTCCCCAGAAACATGGCTCTTTTCAACCTTTGAGGGGGTGCTTCTGCTCAAGGCGAATTGCATCTCACTCAGTACACGTATGTATGTTCTGTATGTATTCTGAAACACTTGTCAATATTGTTATTCCACGGCAAATTGACCCCCAGGAACAAACTTTTGGAAATGACAAGATACCACAACCACAGTCCATACAAAATTGGACTTTACCAATGCTGAATCAAGGTGGTCCTTCATTCAAGATTTGGGCGACATTTAGTACTTCATCATTGCTATGTTTGAAACTCCTAGACAGTGTCATTGAGCGGTGTTGTCGCTACAATGCCCAGCTGTGGTCTATAGCCACATGAGGGCTCCACAAATGCTCAACCTTTACACACTAACTAGTTTGAGCTCTTTTTGTCTACAAAATGACTCGGAGGGAATCACTCAACATATAGGGATGAGTGTAAACACCTGCTGGTACTGCATGGAGAATTCTTCAGAACTGTTTTTATGTACTCCGATTTCAGGCTTAGGTGTATTACATGCATGTCACAACCGTAGAGATTATAGTGAAGCTCGAAACGACGGGCCTTTTCTTCTACGTTACGGAAATTTGGCCCCAGAACAGGGCAACATTTTGTTCGATTACACTACCATGTTTAAACACACGCCTACGTGCTCATGCAGTCCGATACCAAGTCTTCAATGTGCGCAAAGCTTTTCAATTTTCATCTTTACTGACGGCATCAATTTCGATGCTTGTTTACCTGTCAGCATGATTGTGCTCATTTCACATGCATTAGGTGTGAGCGAGGTTCCAAGTTGTTTGTGCGTTATGGGACAATGTTATGTGCCCAGTATCCCTCTAGTTCTAGTTCTCTCTCATGATCTCTATGGTCACAACGCCCTTGTTGCTCAACAATGCATTGAATTACATACACATACAAGCATTGCATGAGCAAGGCATGAGCTAAGTAATGTCCTCTAATTCTAGTCACAAGATTAGTCTATAGAGCACTGAAGTGACTTCGTCACGTACGCAATTATGTGCGTAAAAGCCATTAGCGCGAGAACTAGCGCACACGCTTACTCAGTTCATTTGCACTACACTTCCAAATGACTTTATGCTTTGGAACTCTATTGCACTTGATGTCTTGATAAGTGCCTTTCCATGTCTATGGCTGTGGATACAGTCACCCTTCTGTCCAAAAGTTTCAAGGAAATTATAAGCTTTCTAACTGTAAACATTTTACAAACCAAACGCTCAAAAATGGCCCCTAAATGATGACCAGTAACTTTCATTAGGACCACTCCTCATGTGGTCAAAAGTTGTACCGCTTTCCTAAGAGGGACAACCCCCTAGCTCCAGTCCTTCAGGTGGCCATTTTCCTGTGTACCGGTATTTGAGGTGCAGAAGAACATACATGTAAGACTACTCGTTTGTTCAAATGCATGTATAATTTTCACACCTCAAGTTCCATTGGGTGTCAAGTTTCATGTGTAGGTCTCTCTTTGAAGGCTGATTTGTAACATGTGTACCTTGGTTTTTTTTGTGTGTGTATCAGGTGCCGAGCACTGGGGCCTAAATCCTTTGTCTCCACAGCTACGCAGACTGATCCAGAAGGACTGTTTGTCCACCAAGATGGAGGTAGTAGTCAGGCACTTCATGGAGGTGCAAACCCTGGGCAGATAGTGCAGAATACACGTACAAGCGCAGATGCTGGGCAAGCTGAGGGAAGTAGGGTCACCAATGGGCAGATTCAGCAAGGAGTGGTGACGAGGTGCCTTGAGTTATTACATTTCTTTCCACTTTTCGTCGTCCACCCGCAAGTTGTGGTTTTCCTTTCTCAGTCCGGCATAAAAATTGTGACGTGGTGTTCTGCATTAGTTCATGCTTGAACATATGTTCCTTGGGTGCCTCGCAGATTACTGTCATCATATTACAGCGGTTTTTGTTTTTCACATTAGAAGCATCAGAACTGCTTAAGAAATATCAGAAAAGTGTAGAAATTTCTTCGTCAATTAAAACAATGCGTGCTTCACATTTTTCGGTCGCTGTCTGCCGTTTCATATTAAGAACTGCATTATTGCACTTCACTAGTGTGACTTTTTTGTTTGACCAAAGAACTTCTGTACAGTTGTACTGCAGTGTTTTTTTGGTGATCACATATTGATATGTGCTTTTTAAGGTAAATCACTGGCGAAGGAAGTGGTGGGGGCAAGTGGTCCCCCACTCTTTTTTTGAGGGAGGGGGGGCACAGGTTCCTGCAAGCACTTTCAGCAGGCCCTGTAAGGGACGGGCTTGATGGAATGACTTTTCAATGACTACTCCTTGATGGTCTTACAACTCCCCCCCCCACTTTGAAAAATCATTCCACTGTCTTTTTATTTTTTGCATGATGCTCAGTTCACCACTCAGATGGCTGTGATTTACTCAGGTGTTGCGTAATAGGTTCTATTTGTTTTATTTTTTCGTCCAGTTCTGGTGACTCCCTTATCGTAAATTCTTCTCCTGAGGCAAACGTAAATGAAGATGAGGTATCAGACACTGTCCCGTCCCTCACTGAAGGCATCTCTGAAATACCACCACAGGCCCATCAAGACACCGAAGCCAAGATCATGAATCGACCGAGCAATATTTGGCTGCATTCGTCAAAGAGAAAAAGGAAAACATTGAGGAGGTCGGTCAGGTCATTGATGTCGACTCTAGCAGAAGGGTCTGGCAATGAGCCAAGTCATCGCCTCAACCAAGAGGAAACGGAAACAGGCGGATCCCTCAAAAGCCCCCTGTCCTTGTCTCCGCAGAGGAAGACGGCGAAGTATGTGTTTCAGATTCCCTTGGAAGAGTTTGACAGTGGTGATAATACTGTGCAGCTTGACAAAGTGTGTGGATCGTTGAGTGAAAGCAGACCAGACAACAGCCTTGAAACCTCTCTTGCAGTGAGTGTTGGCGGTTTGGTTCCCACGGTAAACCCTCCCAAAGACAGCAAGGCTGAGTTGATCATTCAGCCAAGCTCGGTATTGCCCTGGGAAGTTGAGGGTCTCTCCAAGATTGAGAGGAACCGCATCAGGGCCCGGGAGGGAATGCGGAGGCACAGGGAGAAGTTGCGGCAGGCAAAACTTGCCGCCCAAACTCTGCAGAGCCACTCAGTGGCATCCGAGGGGCAAGTCTACTCAGAAGCTTCTCCAGTTATTTGGGGATCAGGAACCTCGGCTGCTCCTTGCTCTGTGCCAGTGAAGATGCCTGACGCTTTCAACAGTGGAAAGAGTGTCAGGGGGGGAGAAGTCTTTGAAGGATTAGCACGTGGATCCCAACTGCAGTTGACACCGCAGCACGGTTTGGCTAATGCGGAGACACTGAGGGGAGAGTCCTCATTAGTTGGTCAGAACTTGGGAAAGAAACCATTCGATATTCTTGCACAGGTTGCAGTCAAAATTGAACCCACGGAAAACACAGATCAAGAGAGCACTGATGTCCCTCATGCGCTGATAACGGAGGATTTGAATGCAAATGCAAGATCATTTACAGTTTGTGGGAGCGCTGCCGCTCAGATTTCTGACAGTCAAGGACGCGAGACCACCGCTAGTCTCGAGATCTCAAACATCATGCCTGTTGATCATGCAGCTGGCAACCCCATGTCCTCAGCCCGCATCGATTTCACTCAAGAGCCCTACAGGAGCATGAGCCTTCGAGACCGCAACCGCATCCGGGCTCGAGAAGGGATGCGGCGGTACAGAGAGCGAATGAGGCTGGCCAGACTGATGCTGCCGCAGCCCTCAAAAGTCGCCTTTGCGCAGCCCTGCTCGAGAAGGGGCCCTCGGAAGGGCAGCCGCAGAAAAGCCTCCCACAGGAGTGGCAAGGACTGTGACGGTGTCCTAGCAAGCAGTCACCTGGCTGAACTGGCCAAGAGGCATGCCAAGGGCTCCACCTCATTGCCCTCGTACTCGGAGATGGTGGAGTACGACAAAGTAGAGGCCATGAAAAGGAAGCGGGCGTTTGCATTGTTGCGGACGAAAGCTCGAGGGCCAAAAGCAAAGTTGGATGGGAAGCACCTTTCCCAAGCACTTGTCATCGAATCGAGCGGACTACAAGATGCTGTATCCTCAGCATGTGGTGCAGGAAGTTTTAAGAGTGGTCACATAGCATTGGCTCCAAATGAACTCATCCTCGATAGCGGCTCAGAATCAATCAATCCAGGGCCCAAACCTGGAGATTTCAATCTCACACCAACAAGACTTAAGCGACAGCCACCTGCGCAGCTTTCAACTGTCCTGCCTGAGGAACTTGGTGGGGTACAGAATAAGAGCTTGAAGTCTGAGGAACCAGTGGAGAACCACTCGGACCTGACTTTAGATGTGTACATTCAGGAGAAAATGCTATGCGGTATGGACAAATACGCAGCAATCAGGTACGCTCACAAGTTTATCACGAATGTATAGGACAATAATTATCATTCCGGAATCGGTTGTGTTTATCTCATTGGTCAAACTGTGAAATGTTTCACATTTCTGTAAAGAAATTGAATGGAAACAATTGTTAAGTGGTCTGAAAAAGATATCTGGACTCCTTTTCCTCCTCATAAAAGCATGTCTGCTGCAGCCCAGAAACATGCCGTAGACTTCTCTGTTGCCACCCAGCACCTTACAGTAGCAGGGGAGACTCCAGGGGAGCAGTCTAGTGCTGAGGAGAATCTGTGAAATCAGATTGCTGCATCAGTGCAGCAATACCTAATCCATGGTAGGTCTTCTCCCTTTGAGCCCTGCAAGATGCTTTTTGCCTGGGTCTTGTTTACCCCTTGCTGGCGGGTGTAATTTGAAGTTTTTCAAGATTTTCCGTTTTCAAAATTCTTCAAAAAATCATAAGTTAAGCCTCTTTGATATTCAGTTCTTTTTATATCGTGATATTATGAAAAAATATCACGATATCCGATATTATCGTGATGATGTAATTTTTCATTCATAAAATGAACACGACAGAAATCACCACTATGTCTTGAGAGCCACGTAAAAAAACCTGATGTATATGTATTATCTCTATATTTAGAACTCTAATGCTAGTGGAAAGCAAATTTCAACGTGGAAATTGTGGACATGAAATTATCATATCATATCATGGCACCGTATGGAAAAAGCCATTTCCACGCACACCTTGGTGGTAAATTTCGCTCAATAAGGTAACCCCCCAAAAGGACACAGCACATGCGTGTTACTAGAGGGGCTACTGGTTTTGATGCCTTCACCTCATTTCTAACTTGGCATTTCTAAGTCGCCATTCATTTCTTATAAGTCGGCATGTTTCACTCGGTCCCTTGTCTGCTAGATCACAAAAAGTCCTTCGTGCAAATCGGCATTTAAAAAAATCACGCTTCGGTATCGGTTTCCTTTGCCGCAGTTGCCTAGAAGCATCAAGTGACAAACCCCACACTTCTCGACTGATGTCTGTGTATTAACAGCACATGGTTGAGTACATCAATACAAGGGACCCTTCTAGCGCTACACGCATGCGCTCTGTCCATTTTGGGGGTCACCTTATTGAACCAACTTAACCATTGCGCATGTACGGCCATTTTCCAATACTCGACTTCAGATCCATCTCAGGCTTCAACTGTTTGTTTTCACTACCTGACTTTGAAGTTGTATGCTCAATAGCAAGTTTGATAGTGGCACAAAACATCAAATAAGATGCAAAAGAGCTAAACATTACAGAACTTTTGTTCAATTTAATTGAAATGCTTCAGGCCCACAATCAGGAATTGGTTTTGGAGATGAAGCCTGAGACGAAGACGGAGTTAAGTACTGGAAAATGGCCTAAGTGTATGTGTGCGGTATGACAATCTCGAGTCCCCAGCGAAAGAGCCAAGAGTGGTAATCCACTGGCGCTGAATGCCACAAACAGTGGTATAATCTTTCAAAACAATGATGGATTTCCTCCGCTTTTGACAACTGAAAAAATGTTAGCAACTCCCAGCAGCTTGGTCTTTTGTTCTGAATACGGTCTTCTGTTATAAGGCTCAGCTCTTTTGTCCGGCTTCGAGTATAAAGCCCATGTGCCCGAAACAGGGCACCCCTGCATGAAATGCTTAATCCCAAATGAGCTGCATTTAATCCAGTTTTATTCAACTGCGCGCAACTTGGCCATTTAATAAAATGAAAAGTGATAACGCCCACAGTGTAAATCAAGCACTGGCACCTGGATACTAGACAGTCAATTCTGATTGGTCAAGAGTCTGTGTGCACGCGGCTCACCACGCGCACGCCAAGTCTATATAAGGAGATTCTTTTGGACAACTATAAAATAAAATGGATGAGGGTGTTCGGGAAAATGAAAGTAAAATTCCAGAACAAAATCGTTGGAAATCGGTCGTATAATGACTTCTTTTGACTCTCTAACTAAAAAAGGTATTTACAAATGGGAATTAATATAAACTAACGTTTCAGACTGGCCAAGCACATATTTATATTCATAAATACCTAAGACAGTTTAGCCATATTTATTGGTAGAGAGTCTGTCATGTGACTGGTCTTATACAAGCACATACAGTATTTGTTCCCTTACTCATCAAAACCCTCTTTGCTAGTTGGAGTATGTTAAATTTCAAAGAGGAATCACTTCCAGAGCACGTCTTCTTGTACTACAAACTACATGTACATATACATGTATAAGTATATGTGTATTGTAGCCAAAGAATTTGAAAAAAAATGGATGGCTTTTGTCCCAAACACAAAACTTGAATGTACCTTAAGTTTAGAGAACATGGATGGTCATGGGTGGTTGTCGCTTGTAATTAAAGGTTAACAGAAATTGAAAACATTTAGCTCACAAGTAACAATAAATATGTACCGTTTCAAAAACATTAATTACCCCATTACTCGTGATCCCCAAGTGAATAAAAAGATTCTGCGTTTCCCTGCCGACAACAAATCCCCTTTTGGTCATTCGCATTCCCAGGCTGAACACGGTCTATTGCAAGCATGCGATACTGCATGTACTGTGTGCAATCGTAGTACACTTATACTGTACATGTACGTTTTGGTGTTCTGCCGATGACGTCATCAAATCGGCCTGGGAGTGTGAACGGCCAAACAGGGAATTTTTGTGGGCGGGGAAACTCGGGATCTTTTATTCATTTGGGGGTCACGATTAATGGGTGAACATTGAATTATGATGTTTTGGGAATGGTTACGTATTTGTAGTTATTTTGAAGTACTTCACGTGAGCTCAATGTTTTCAATTTCTGTGAACCTTTAACATCCTGAAAGTGTGGGATATATTAAGTGGAAAAACGTGCCTGCAAATTTGGTGACAGATTGATGTACTGTTTTATTGTACAGATCGGATAGGGACACTCTGAGCTTGCCACCCATGAAACACTTCAAAGATCAACAGTAACAGCATTGAGGCTGAAGTGAAGACAGACACACTTGTCAACATTATTACTTCCATATATCAGGATGCCAAGCCTAGCACAAAGATATTTGTTTTTATACAACACCTGATTAAACCTCTCTCATCTGATTGGTGAGTGGCTGATCACATGACTTGAATTATTTGTCACTTTGCATGGCATGCGTCCCCACCACAAAATCTGTGCATTGGAACCCACATACCAGTATTGTAGGTCTTTTCAGTGACATGATGAATGCATGCTACACAGATGGCTTTGTAATGCAGGAAATTTCTGAACTCGTAACTGATAACCCACTCTGCAAACACACAGAATTATATGTTTACTGTCAAATGTTGATAAGTTGCTGTCCATACATGTATTCTTACAAATGGGTCATTAGGGAGACATTTTGTGGTAAATTTTTCGACCTTAAGGAGACATTGGTCATTATGGAGACATTTCAATGTCTCCCTAATGCTCGGGCTACCAGAAGGAGGCCGAATTTTACCGTCCAGATTTTGAAAGATGATAGATTAGGGTCTAAATTGAAAACACAAGAGTTTGGTTCAGATCAGATTAGGGAATATTGAATTATGGGACAGTAAAGTTTGTGCACGTTCTTATGGGAATGTCTCCCAAGTGACCACGGTATTATTATAATTATTTACTTCTGGTAATGACACCAAGGATTCCTCAAAAGTGCCCTGGGCACTGTAGCTTGCAAGCCTGAAGAAACCTGTAGAGAGGAGACAGTGGGCAGAAGTAACAGTTTTAGAGGTGGGAAGAAAACCCTAAAAGAATATTCTGGGTAAAACCTATGGAATTGCGTAGGGACTGAAAAACCCAATCTACATGTGAACCAAGCCAGGAATTGAACCCGGACCGCAGCGGTAGAAGGCGAGGAAAGAACCACTATGCCAACCTGACTACCCTAGAAGAATGAACCTTGAAAAAGCATGAAATGAATCAGAATCAACAGAAAACTGGGGGAAAATAGAGAGGATGTTAATTATCTGCCTTGAGCACAAGCACCCCCTCGTTGGTTGAAAAGAGCCATGTTGGTTGGGAGTGTTAACTTTGTTGGTACCGATGTAACTGCAGCGCTTTTGTTTTGTAGTCGTTTGTGAACCAGCGATGTGCAGTTGTTAACAAAGGAGCCTCCATTGCTAGGAAAATTGCACCCTCTCTTGGTCCAGCTCGGGGCCCATTTATCAGACGACGAAGACTTATTCAGGTGTTGCCTAAAACAAATAACCAATGTTTCTCATTGTGCAATGGAAATGTTTCATTCTTCGTTGGGTAGCCCTATGATGTAGACCAATTCCATCTGTCAAGGAATGAATCTGTTCTCTGAGTTGCACTCATTACGTGTAGCTACGTGCTGTTTTCACTCTGTGGGCAGATCCAGTGATTTGAGGAAGCCATCAAAAGATAACCATGGCAAGACCATGTTTTGTTTAACATCAGATGAAAAGCTTGATTTTTACGGAAAGTCTTGAGGGAATTTACTTCATATATTTTCATTTTGCACATACCAGATCTAAGTTGAAATTTATGTTTCAAGAACAGTCAGCTGACCTCTGAGGTTGCATAAATTACTGTTATTTATGCATTTGAAACTGTGATTTTTCCACACCACTTGCTGTAACATTTGTTATGCATGTGTTAATCTCTTCATCAATATGGCCCCTTCATCATGTGTACATGGTTATCTCATGGTTGCAGTGTGAATTGTGCCAATTCCCAGTTCTGCCTGACTAGCAAATTAGGTCGGTTCCCGACTGAAATTTCATACTTATCTCTCCAGTCTATTCTACTCATTAAGTCATAAATTAGTTAAAGTGCATGTTTTTTTCTTGGGAAGGACATGCAACAAGGTGATCATGCTATTTGTCGTTAACTAATTTAAAACTCGGAACTAATTTTTATTGCGTACCGATGGGTGCTCGGTAGAAGTGATTTGTCAAATACATGTACAGTTCGCTACCAAGAGGTTAACAAAGAGAGGCCTTTTTTTAAGTTTACAGTTGACAATAGCATGACCGCATTGCTGTGTTGTGTATTTAAACATATGTTAATAGATTAGGAAATTTTAAATAGATTTGGACATCCAGTATGCAACCAAAGAAAGGATTGATTAAAAGGGCTACTTAAAATATACTTATGAATCTTCGTTTCTGACAGACATTTGGAATAACTCAAGTTCCCTGCACACAGCAGGCAAATAGAAGTTGTCAACCAATCCCACAATGCACTACGAAAAATGGCCTCCTTTGGCAACTTCTTAGTGGCGCACTGTATTGTGAATCACCTGTATCACTGTATTCTTAGCCTAGTATAATGAAATTTGTCTCCAGCTATATGGAGAGTAATTCTAAAGCTGATTTTAAATGTATAGTTTGTACTACGCAGGAATCATAAGGAATTTAATGAGAGATTTTAAGACACTTGATGGCGGCAGACAAACCGGTCCCTTTTACCCGTTCTGGACATGCATGTGTAGTGATGAGCAAGCGCATGTGTAGTGATGAGCAAGCGCATGACATTGGAAAAGGACCAGTTTGTCTGCTGCCACCAAGTGTCTTAAAGTCACCTCATGTTCTTAAGTCTCCCATTGATGTCTTTTATCCTTTGACACTTTCAGAAATAGTGCTTTTATACTTCACTGTTAGTACAGTAGTCAAGATAAATGTGTTCATTTGCGTTATAGTTGTACATGTGTGTCTTCTTGCTGTATATTTATAAACATAGTGTTGTGCTTAGATGTATGGAAATCAGCTATTCTGATGACTCACTTTTAGCTGTAAAGAGCATTTTTTTTAAAAGCATGAACAACTATGAACATGGATATGCATTCAACCAAAAGCTGTAGACACAACTTTGCATGGAATTTCAATCAAACTACATGTAATGTGCAGAGTACTACTAGTACAATGGGCTTGCCTCGGTCTTTCAGACGGTGTACCTCATTCAAAAGTACAGGCATCCCCTCATGGCAAAGACGACTGATAGTTGAATCCCATTGTCTCTGTTGGCGCAAGTGAAGGTGCTATGGTGAAATTTGTGCAGATTCCAATGAAAATGGGCCAGCAGAATCAGTGCCACACTACTCTTCCTAGATGGGGTTGATTGTTAACTTTTTCCCTTAAGCAGGACTTAAGGGTCATCACAACTGCAATCCTGTGACTAATCCTTTCCATCCCGTCCAGGTCCGTTAGATTTACATGTTCCTTTTTTCTTATGTGTTTCATGCTTTTTCACAGAAAAAAAACCTGCAGGCCACAATCAGGTACAGAAAACCAGTATCTCAGCACACCTTTAAAAAAGTACATTCAACTCTCGATGTATAGAGAGCTTTCAAAAATACTTATGTAATTAGCGACACTTTATCTCACTCTCTTGAGTATTCCTGTATGTGTGGGCGCCATAGGTGCAATAAGAAAACTAGCTGGGCCTGCAGGACCTCTTAGGAAGCCTGGAGAGAACTGGCATGGACTGCGTCCTGTCTCCGCTTCCAGCCAGCTCATGCCCCCTCCCCCATGCACAAGGTTCTTGTTCTAACACGACAACGTGACTGGTCCCTGCAACCTTGTATTAACGAGAGTTGACTCTACATGATGTCTCTTTGACAAACCCAGGGCATTATTTTCAGTGAATTGGGGCATTTCACAGTAGTGCGCTTCCACGAGTTTGCAACACCTGGGCCAATCACAGTGCACGAAATCTGTTGACCCAATGCATGTTTGGAGAGGGTCGACAAATTTCGCGCATTGTGATTGGCCAAAGCATTTCAAACTCTTGGAGGCGCACTATTGTGAATCGCCCATATTGTATCATGTTTTCTGTCAGTGAAACTGGTGGTATTAGGGTTTTAGTAACCAAATAAAATGACAAAACGGGCATTTAGAAAAGTTAGATCAATACATGTACCTACCCTAACAGCATGTAGTGTGTGTCTCGCCGAAAGCTTTAAAATGATGTAGTCATTAAAAGTAGTCCTGAAATCATCTCTTTTATTTGTATATATGCAGACAATTGAATATGCATCTATTTATCAATCAGCATTGTTGCCCAGCATTATTTTTGTAATATACCCGAAGCTTTTTGCCAAACATTTAACTTTTGTACAACTGCTAATTTATTTACCATTGTAGTTACAATAAAGAATGTTATGAATATTCATAGCACGCCACCTCCATTAAATTAGCTCAGGTTGTGATGAGAACTGGTACATGTTGACAATTTTGTTGTAATATTGAGTAAAGCTACTCGGAATTAGCTAATAAAGAACCCCGGAATATTCATGTGCTGGGAATAAAGATTGATGTGTATCGTTAACTGTTATGTCAGATGTCATATGCGTTCAGGTGAGACACTTTGATTTCATGAAAGTGCTAAAATGGGTGAAAAAGAAATGAGTTACATTATTTAACTCTGATTCATAAGAAAATGGTAGCACTGTCAAAATGTAAGTCTGTTTTAGTAATAAATGTTAGCAATTTTTTATGTTTAAAACCTAATGTGAGAGTCGTAAGAAATATACTTCAAATATACCCTGTTTAGCTCATCTCTGGATATTCAGATAAATAGTTTGTAGGTACCAAAATAGTCTTTTTGCAATACTCTTCACAGGAAAGCCTTCAGATTCCCAATAGCCCTGTTGTCAAAACACTGAAATACTCCTACAAAAATCAACAAGTACTACCTGCCTACTTCAGCAGTTAGCTGTCTAGAATTCAAAGTTTGTTACTGGCCCTACAAACAACAAAGCAATGGGTATCATATGCCTGACTTTGTTCCTTATTTTAGAAGTTCAACAGAGCAGCCACGTCAGGTTTGATGTATACACGTACTGTTTAGTAGCAAAACTAACTGGTGAATTAAGAATCGTGATATGCATATGTGTGAGTACATGTGCTGGTAATTAACAACAAAACTTCAAGTCTCAACCAAATTCACACCAACACAAATACCTCTCACAGCTGCCTAAAATTAATGAGATACAACCATACACCAAGGTCATAACACTGCTGTAAAATAGGAAAATTCAGCAAATATCCCCGCTAGCTTCCATGAACATCCTGAGAGGAAATGGGGGGCTCTTAATTGCCCCCCCCCCAAAAAAATGGAAAATTGAAGAGGAAAAAAGTGAAATTAGAAAAAGAGAGGGGATAAGAATAAGCCATTTTCTTTAAAAACCTCAAATTTTATGACACCCCCTCCCACAGTTAATTGTTTACCAGTTCTTAGCTGATGAATGCCCCCTCCTAATAAAAATTCCCCTGGCAAAAAAAGTATTTCTCCCACCCTTTGGAAAAAGTCCCAGCAACCCCATGCTAGCTTCAACTTATGTGCCCTGGCCCCAGTGCACTCTATACCCATGGCTTCACTGTTTCAGTGGTGTTAATCCAGTGGAGATTTGGGTCATACAACTGGGAATGAGCCTATCGTCCCATGCCCTTTTTCGATGGAGAGACTTTCCACGGCCGGGTATTCTAGGACTTTGGCCATTCCTTATCCCCTAACTCACTATTGCACCATTATTGCTTCTTATGCTTCTTAAATAAACAGACTTTAAAAACTTACTAACTAATAAATGCTACTCCTATTTCCTCGATCAATTCAGCTTATAGTCCAAGTCTACTTATTCTTTCTACACTTCAACAGTTTATCATTCAACAGCAAATTTAATGTGCAATGCCTGTTTCATGAATGCATATGTATACTCAAAGGAACTGCACCATGCAAAGGCCCCTTTATTAGTGGCAATTGGATGTGCACACTTGAACAGGTTGGATTGAAACTTGATGTGTCACATGTCAACAACACCCTTATGTAAACCTGGAATCTCTGTTATTTAGTAGGACATCTCACCTTTTGCTAAGGAACTGTGAATTAGCTGAGCATGATTTGACTCTTAATTGTGGCCGACCTGGAATTGATTTCTGATCATAGGTTGTAAGCTATCCCACTTCTGTGAGCAGGTATCCACAGCAACATATATGGGAAAAGCCGGGGAGAAAGGGATGCACTAATAAGGTGGTGCCTTCTCTAGTCGCACCAGTTACTATCCACCAGCCATGGTCAACACTTTCGGACACAACACCAGTGTCATCAAACCTGTAGAAATCAAGTGCCGATAGAGGATGATTCGAGCTGATGGGTGGGAACCTATCGAGCTACCTCAGTTTTTTTTTCAGCAGATTTTAGGGTCATCTCAGAGATTACTTTTTACACTTGATTAAGAGTAACCCCAAGAGCTACTCGAGCAACCTCAAATGCACACTTGATGGTAACATCAAAGATTAACTGCTTGACTTGAGAGTAGCATGAAGGATTACTTGGCAGTTACAGCGCATCCATGGATGGTCTTGATTGTCTTGATGATCAAGAGGCAAGCGAGTGGAGCAAGGAGACTGACCGCTTGACTAATTGGGGCTTACACTCTTTGGAGAGGAGCAGTGAGAGTCGGCTGAGGAACCCCAGGTGTTACTGGGTATCTGGAGTATGGGTGTGGTCCTGCTTCTTCTGTTGATCACAGCCAGTGGGATAGCGCCATCCATCTCTGCATTCCAAGGCACATGTAAATGTGAATCAAACAGTGGTGAGTCACTAACTCTACAAAATCCTACAGAATGCTAATGTGAACGAGCTAATTTAAGCTGATCCTAAAATGTGAGTGAAACCTTTCGAAAAAGCATTGTCATCTCCTATATTTACGGTTGTAGATAATGTGCAGTAAAAATAACTTCTTGGCTCCATACAAAAAACTACATCTGCATAATTCAAAACTTGTTCGTGAATGTACTACAGGTATTTCATCATTACTCATCATGATGGGAACGGGTACCGACAAGTTTTATTTTGGGATGTTCATATTAAGAAGGATCATTGCTCTTTTTCTAACCTTTTTCAATTGATGATGACCCTTGGACGCCATTTCGCTTCTCCATGGGCTCTGGAGAAGGGGCTGGCACCATGTACTTGGAGCTGACCCTCTTGCGCCGTCTCTGTGTCGCAAAGACATAAACGTTTAGTGACAATTACGCTGGTTTATCTTATGTTTGATCTGAGCTTGTTTCTGCAGAGTCATGGCCAGGCACATATTTGTCTCGCCTGTAATAAAATGTGACTGATGCTTTATAATTCTCTGCTGTAGATCCATGAGAAACGGTTGGCTAGGCCTATATGCCCCTTGAGTGTATTCCAGAGTTCTCCTTTATCCACTGTCAAGGAAATGACATTTTTACAGCAAAATTCTATTCTCAGAATAAAGACCGCTGCGCTGAGACTTCTTTTAAGCCTCATGAAAGTTAAATACTTTGAAAAATGATTTGTTGGTGATGTCTGTGGAGCAAGGTCTTCAGGATTTCTCAAACAAACGGAAGCCTCCAACTTTCTCAAATGCAAAACCAACTGCCTTCCATTCAAATAAGGAGTTGACCTCGTCAAACAAACTGCACCGTTTGAGACCCTCAGATTCTGATTTAATACCGTCCCTCACCCTGACGGTACTCCTCCAATGGCTCACAGCAACCCTTGCCAGCTCTATCTGCCTCTCCTTGGTCTGTTGATGCCGCTTGTAGTGGATCTCTAGACGGTTGATGATGCAGCCCACCAGGAAACCACCGGCTACCAAGATAAAGACTCCTGGTGGCGCAAAGTGAGTAAGGGTTGTTTCAAAAAGAGTTCAGTTACCATTGCTTTGGTTCGAGTATGTTTGTCGCGTGTTTGTGGTTTGACATTTATAGATAAAGCGATATCATTTTTAAACAAAAACATTCGCATGTGAAAGGTTATTGGACTGCTGCTTTTATACTTTTGTTGTCTTCCTTCCACTTCCACTCTCTTAAATGTTGACGAACAAAAGTAGAAATTCTTATGATAGTAAAGTAATATTTTTTAAGAAGCTGCATGTCTATGCATTTTGACGGGTATTCTCAGACGGCATCCTCTCTTGTATTAATGCTCATGTTTGTAAGTAAGACATTTAAAATTTCTGCTTAGTACTGAATAATCTGTCTAATGCTGCATTATCCACTGTCTTATTTGACTTACCTCCCATGCTAGATAGACCCAATGTTGTTGGCTGAACAGATTTCACTCCACACTGCTTTGATGTAATCCATTTGATGTCCAGTTCACCGATCTTCCCCTTCTCGTGCAGTTCCAGGATTCGCAGAGAGATCTGTGCCATCAAATTGTAAAGTCAAAACACACTGCACTTCGTTTGCTAGAGACTACACACAATGTCATCTCTCTCAAAGAAATGACTTGAGTCTTCAATCGTCATTACCATGCACGTGCCTAGCAAAAATGGCTGGCAAAGAGGGAAATGTCGGCGATTTTAAAGGCTGACATGTTTATCTACCAGTACTCGAACACACTTTACTTTTGTGATCCTTCTCTAATGTTTTGAATGCAAACGGATCCTTCAACCCGTCTCTAAAATGTCATTTTATTTTCATGTAAATACATCCTTCCCCCATCCTGCGTAAACTAACTAAAACACGTAACTGCATGTCGTAAGAACGAAAGACAATTTCCCAGCCCATTACCTTCTGCGTCCACAGACTTCCCTTTTGAAGGCCGATGCCAAAGCCCGATCGTCCAAAGAGTTCGCCCACCGTGATCAGTCCGCAGTCACGAGACACTTCGAAGTCGAGCATAGCAGAGTCGTAAATAAAAGCATCGAGTTTGCTGGAGGGGAGAAAGGGGGATATTTTTTTCAAAATAAAAAAAAATTCGCAAAATCGAGTAGAAGAAATTACAACCTAAAGTCAAAAAGTTGAGTGAGCCCTAAAATATGCACCAAAATTAAATGCATTCTACAATATTGGCTGTAGTCTGTGACTCTGCAAAACCTTTAATTGACATTGGCTGGCACCAGCATAGTTTCGTACCCACTTTTCAGGTCCTCAATTGCATTGTCAGCCTCCTTGTAATTATAAGTTTGCATGAAGCGATACATTGAGGATAGCTCCACCTGTCGACGGAAGTACATCTCCACTGAACTCTTGCTGACGGTGGCGTAGGTGAATGCTGGCGATGGATTCCTCATCTACAGACCAAAATCAATAAAGGCCGTTTTTTTAATCGAGTGCGGTTTTCAAGTCAGTGTTTAAAATGATCAGTTCCTTTATTAAACAACGACGAGTCAAATTTATTACTAACAATTTTCTCGATGTTATGCATAAGTTTGTCCGCACGTTAGTTAGCTTCTACGGATTCAATTACAAAAATGTAATTCTTCGTGAAAGGGCATTATTACCTTCATCCCTGTCGAAGGCAACTGTGCCCACTTGTCTACATCCAAAGTATAACAGACCTAAACAAACAGGCATGTTAACACAGTAGCGAACAAAATTCATTTGCCATAAGGAAATGTAGATCAATTCCAGGTTATTGACATGCACTATTTGTATTTAGCACAGGCGGACCTTTGCATCATTAATTCCACTGATACGAGCATGAGGCTTGTCCAGCACAAGGTAAGCGGCCAGGTTAGCCGTGTAGGATGCCACCATGATCATTGCGAAACCTGCCCAGACCACTCCCAGTACGCGAGCACCAAAGCTCCTGGGTGTTCCTACGGAGAGAGTGAAAGGACAGTGATGATGGTGGGTGAGATAGTTGATGAAGGGGACACCAAACGGCGATGCTACAAAAATATCTGAGAACGGAGGTAACCTCTGCCACTAATGGAAATCAATAAACATGTTTACATTATTAATGCATCTAGTTGATGGCTTAAGTAGACACGTGATGCCTCTGCAGTACCAACCACGGAAATTGAGACTGAGCTTTTAGAAGGCGTTCCAACAGTGTGCATCACCCCCTTCACTTCCATGTTGTTTTGTGTTTTGTGGACAATTTATAAATGTACAAATAAAGTATAATTATGCACATATGACACAATTATGGAATGTGTATTATTAGTGATTTGCAGAAATAATTCACAGTTAACTTTTCTTCTTTAAGTAGATTCAGTGATTTAATGGATGACACGGCCTACTTTCGCCAACTCCACTGTTCAAGAGCACCGACCAGGAGAACCACAGAGCCTGGGAGAGATTCAAGGCGTCCGTCTCTGAGCCGTTGCGCGGATGTGAGAACGGACTGAACCGGTCCAAGAGATAGATGACAACAGCGATGACGTGGATGCAGACGCCAATCAGAAGCCAAAGGGAAATTTGGAATGGCCGCATGAAGGACAGAAGGTTAGTGCTTGCGTCAGCCTTTTGGGAAACAAAAAACACACGAGCATTTCATTTCTGTGAAGCAGGATGCTGGAATCTAATGCCAGCGCAAAGAACGGCAGTCTTATTGAAGAGAGACAGCGGCACTTTCAAATTACCTTTCTAACAAAATTAAGACATGCTAGCTCCAAACCTGAAGTAATAATAATCGGAGAGATACAGGGAAAGATATAATGCCGCCTTAATCATAGCGTTCTTAACATGTCGAATTGTTTTTTCTCTCTGTTCGTACTTTACTTTACATAATGTTATGTTATCATAACATAGTGCCAGTTACATAATGTTATGTTATCATAACATAGTGCCAGTTACATAATGTTATGTTATCATAACATAAGGCCAGTTATCAAAATACCAAACTGTCTGAGACATCATTCTTTGATTGAACATGAGAAATTTTGAACATGATAGTGCTGCAGAAGGGAACAGATAACTGCTATTACCTTTTTGACCAAGATTGTCAGGCCTTGGTACTTGTAGGGTTTGGAGAAGTCAATGTACCGGGCTCTCTCATTGTTGATGGTCAAGGGAGCCATGATCATGTCTGCCTTGTCGTCTACAAGCTCACCAATCATACCAGTCCAGCGCTTCCTCTCTGTCCCGTTAACCTAAGACGATCAGCGACAAAAGGTTTTTGTTTTTATTTGTTCATTTTTATGCGACAATGGGCTATACTTTTTCTTGGGCATTTTTAATTTCACTTCATAAATTCAGGATTTTTTTGTCTGCTTGATTATCGATCAATCGACTAATTACCTGGCGGCTTAGTTCATCTTATGGACTAGTTTACACTTTTCTCTCTTCTTTTGGGGATTGTTTTTTCCAGCATGATGTTATGAAACTTATTCGTTGAGTTCGACTCTATCTGTATGGTTTCACCTAATTTTTACACGTCTTGCTCCACCCGCATGTAAACTTGGCCACGCCCAAGAACTGCGGAGCACTTTACCAATTGACGCAAAACGGAACTCACGTGTTCAAAGTTGCCGTAGTTACCGTCGTGTACTTGATGGAGATCGAACGTAAAGTTCAGCTCCTTTGCAAGAACCACGAGGAGATCGATGCAGAATCCATAGCAACATTGCATGCGATCTGCTTGGAAGAGACCAGACCATAACAATGGATTCTCGTCCAGTAGCAGTGTTCACTGCCAGGCGACGTGGCAGGCAGCAAAATAACATAGGGAGCAGAGCTTTCAAAAGGGTAAAGGGCACAAGGCTTCTTTGACGTATAGCTTGGTTTCACTCTTTGGGTAACCTTCACATTTTACAAATATAGGGAAACTTTCAAATGATCAGAAAATAAAATAAATGGCTTGTACTTCTTTGAAGTTTGCATAAAACTGATCAGTTGAGGTCTTTAAGAATGTTTAGGACTGTGAAGTGGTACAGTTTTAACTACTGTCCTTATGCAAAGTTTGGAGAAGGATATATTTATCCAGTTCGATTTTTTTCTTTGGATTTACACCACTAACAACAGACACTTGACGTTCTTTTCAGAACGTCGCCTTTACCTTTCGAACACTTTGTTCGATTTTACTCGCAGACCATAGTGAAAGAGTTGGCTTTGGAGTCCTTGCTACGTAATGTAATATACATTACCTCCCTTGGCAGCCAAGCACGGTAGGGTATCATTCATGCATTTCTTGGTCTCTGGGTCTTGTTCGTCCACGTACACGAAAGGAGAATCTTTCATAATCACAACCTCGAACAACAAACGGAAATATAAAGAAAAAATTAAAATTTAACGCTGTTGGTAAGCAAATACAAACGCATGAATTCATCCGACGGTCAGAGACACCACACCCATGCAGTTTGTCACCGCTGAATCTCACTTTGGTTAGACTTGACAAAGCTACTTCTTCAAACTCGCAACAACACTGAAAAGTGATAAGAGTTTTTAAAACTATACTCTCACAATGCACTATCTCTAACGTTAATACAATGTTTGAAATCCTGACATTTAAATAAATTTTGTCAGTTTAAGGAGGCCCGAAGGCATTTGTTAAAAAAAATCTACGCAGGAAATCCATAAGCAATTCGCACACACTCTAAGGCCACTGTTCTCACGCACCCTCGTGCAGGTTTTTCCTACCCTAAGATGGGTTTGTAGTTCGTATCCCTCTGGTTTATCCCGCGTTCCGCCCGGCCAGATGATCGGAACATGGGTGGTGGTGAGTCGAGTCTCTGACGACCACGCCCCAATGGTTACGGGCTCACCGCTCTGGATGTTGATTAGCTTGTACTTGGCTGACTTGCGGTCTCCGTGTTTGTCGAAATCGATGGCGCCCGTCGCCCCTTGTAGAACCCTGGCATCCACGAGATTTCTGAGTTGAAACAGAAAAGAACCGCAGGTGAATTTTTTTGTGTCATTCACGATGAGGTTTATTGCCCAAATTCTAGCTTTTTATTGTGCAAGAGTAAGTTACACTGAGAAAGTTTCAACAGTCATCCGATCTCACTACCATTGCTGTGAATGAACGAAGCAAACTGCCACTCTTCAAAGCGTGCCGGTAATACAGTATGATTATAACGGCAACCTGAATAATTTAACAGCTTTCAGCATCATATCATGTGGTGCTGTCTGACTTGCGCAGAGTAACGGACAAAGAAAAGGTTTAGTATTGTGGGTGTCCGTGGTTGGAATCCCAGAAGGTACATTTCTCTCCTTTTCTCACTTTTCAGTTGTTTCCTGTTCAGGAAGACCTTGCTACTCTCTTTTTTTGCGAGAAAACAAAATTTGTTTGTTGCTCTTTAAGCGTCAAATGGAATGATGGCGCTGCTTAGAAGGTATATACTAAGCAATAACGAAATTCTTGTAAAGCTTATAATTTTGGAAATATTTGTGTCGCGGCCAAATTCTCAAGAAACATGGAAACTCATCATGTCACTATACATGTCACTTTCTATTCATCAGTTCATCTATTAACCCCCTATTCCAACCGCATACGAGCAATTTTATTTGTAAGCTTCAACTGAGATTTCCACTTAAGCATTGATCTATCACGTAGGGACTAGTGCAAAACATGAACACCATGAGGACTTGCGTAGTTGGGGGTCCGGTTTGCAGCGGAAAAACCGCTGGTCTTCTGTGCATCTTTACCCTCGTTTAGTTACGCTACTGACCATAAGGCCTCTGTTTTGCAACTTATCCATTATGGAAACTGCACAGTGTCAGTTTAATTCTTTTGGGCAGTGTGACTGGCAACACCGTCTCCGAGTATATACCCGTAGAAGAGCCGACCGCTCGCCCACAGGCTCTCCCCGGACGACAGCCGGCAGCCGGCCGGCGGTGGCATGATACCCTCGTTCTGCACGAAGCTGTGGATGCCCTTTGCAATGACCCGCACGGCGTCCTGGATGTGGGACTTGGTGTCTGTGCCTTGCTCCAGGTACATGCCCAGAGTACCCTCTGGCGCCTCGGCCAAGGCCTCGCCCGTGATGCCTTGCTCGGTGACGACCCAGGCGTAGCCAGCACCGGTCATGTTCAGACGTTGCGCGTCTTGGAAGATAGTGGTGGCGTCTTTCTCACTGAGAAAAAAAGGAAAAAGATACACGTTCAATTGTGCATATACTGAGTGACCATTTCTACGACCGGCTTGCCTTTTCAGCTAACCCGAAAATTTCGTTAAAACTGCCTATTAAACGTGATTTTCATTCACTTTCTACGGAATAAAGAGTCTTAACTAATGCGTTTAACGTTCATTTTTCGCAAAGAAAGAATCAACATGTAAACACATACATAATGCTATCATGCATTGCATTTTGTACACTTTGTAATATTTTTTTCCAGAAAGACATTAAGTTTTGGTTATAATTACTTCATGAATACGAAATTTAATAGATCGATTGATGAAATTGTAAGCAATGATAAATGATTCATACAGTACGCTACAATTGAAAATGGCCAAAATATACACAAGAAATATGTTATTCTCAGATACTAAACTGACCGTGGCATATTGTAACGTCTTACCTCGCATACAGCAATAAGACTCTTGATCGGCATTTTCTCACTTCGAGCAAGGTATCTGTCAGGTTGCTGGCTCGTGGCTTGTACGCAATAGATTGTTCAATCTGACGATTAGGCCCCCAAAACAGTGAAAAATCAAACAATTGCTGAAAAAGAGAGGCTGAAAATACCAATAAATTATCTTTTTCAATTCTTTGAAGTCAAATGACAGACAATTTACTCACCTTTACACAGACAATGAAAAACAAAATTTTGCTTTCATTTATAGTTATAACTATGGTTATCCCAAAAGGTGATCAGAATAGAGAAATGCAAAGCATGCACGAGCGAGTTGGCCTGTAACCCGACGATACCACACCTTGAAACGGGCGGATCCTTCGAGACGTTTCCGGAGGGTGCTGAGGATGGCTCGTCCGTCCTGATCGCTGCTGGTGATCGTCACTACACTGTTCCACTCGAAATGGTCGACCAGGTCAGCCCAGACATTGGCCTGCTGGGAGTACGGGGGCACGGTACGCAGGTAGGACTTGTGGATGTGCTGCCGCATTGAGAGAGGTTAACAGCAGGTAAAGACAATGGTACTAAATTGGCACCGGGCTAACAGTTGGCCACTTGTTTGAGGGGGGCGGAAATCAGCGTGGTCATAGTATCAAATTTAAAGTCAGCCCGATGCTGTCATTGTCTCCTCCAACTTCATGCAGACAAGGATGAGCAAGGTTGGAGTGGGGGACCCACGCCAGTTTCATCTTTCAGACAATTACAAGGGCACGCCTTGTAACTTTGGATTCAAACCCAGTGACCCGTTTGTGCCTTTTTTGTTCTAAAATAGAAGGACTTACAATTTTAATACATGTATTTTGTCAGCATTTTAGTTTGATTAATATGTTTGGAGTGGGATTGATCCAAGATAAAAGACCAAAAGGCAACGAGAAAAAAACACTAGTTTATAATTTTTTTTGGAATGTTTTCTGATTTTCATTTCTTGTCTAACAGTTTAACAGAGCTATCAAGGTTAAGAAATCAATGAATGGCAATTGGGAATGCTGATGAACAGGGCAGTTGAAGCCCACACTATACCAAACTTGATCAAATTCATGAAGAAAAAGTAACAGAAAACGTATACATTAACTGAATTCCACTGAAGGTACAGGTGAACGCTGAGATACAACGATTGCAAGTTTCATACGCCTAGCTGTATTGTATAAATGGCGTAAGATCAGCCAGTTTTATTAGTTAGAGCTACAGGTCTGGTTCTCTGACTTAAAATTTTATGTGCATGAAGCAATCTGCTTTCCAAGCCAAGCATATAGCTATAATGGCTGAAGATGTTGGTATCGATAAGCCTTAGCCCTTGGGCATTACAGTCCTTTAAACCGATTTCCTAATGCACCAGGTCGAGAGATATTCCCTCGCATACGCAGTTGTCACTGAGTCTTACTGCTTTGCCAAGGACCGGTGTACTACAAAGAGAGACAACGTATTTCTGCTTTCTTTCTTTTTCTTTCTCTCTACTTTTTGCACAAAAAAAGACTAACTGCAGAAAAGCATAGACACTGTGTATGTCGTACAGAGAGAAAGAAACGAATTTCAGGAGATCAAACAGTATCCTGAGTCTTATCTCGGTCGTCTTCGTTCTCTAGCTGCGACCTACGGCCCACTTGTTCACACACTGCCCGTTTTGTTGGCGCGGTGCTTTACAGTATTTAGTTATGGCATTACTTTCTAAGCCTGATACTTTTGTGTTTGTTCTCTCTGAATCTGGTGGTTGCTTAACGAAAAATAAAGCTCCATGAAAAAGGATTCACTGCACCTAAATGACCCTCAGATTTGAGTTTTCCTCAAAGCGCAATATTCTTCTTGTTCTAACTGGGTTTTAAACTCACAAAATAAAGCTAGGTGAGTTTAACTGTATTCATTATTTCACCTGTAGCCTAAATTCCTGGATTCTTATATCTCAGTTTTTCAACTTATTATCTATGGAGCTGTTTCAATCCTATCTTTTGCCAAAGTTTGTCTAATATTCAATGGAAACTCACTTCATAAAGAGTGCCGGGTTTATAGGACAGTATTATGCCCCAACAACACTATTTTTTATGAGATTAGGCGAATATATGCAAATACATGCAAATTCAGGCAAACTAAGAACGTCGATGTTTGAGAGCGTGGCCATTTATTCTGTCAACAATTATGCAGGCCGGTTGTTCGCGAAGGAGGAGGTCATTTTGTCATATTCACGATTTTAAGCCTTCTTCAGCAAAAGTCATGATCAAGCATTTCAAGATGTAGTTTTGCGTTGGGGAGATATTAATTCAAATAACGGGTTTTGCCCTTACCCAACGTATATATTGATAAACACTGTATGCTCAGTGCTCGAGCAAGAGCTTGCGAAAAAATGCACAAGCTTACTCGGGTGGGACTCGAACCCACGACCTCCTGCTGACTATTGCAGACGTCTTAACCACTCGACCACCATGATCAAGCACTTCTCGTATTCAGCACTTGTGAAGCGGAGTCCAGTTACAGTAGATTTTCAAATATTTCTTTAATTAATTTTATCACATTTCCTGCACTTTAAATCAGCTTGTCTCCCTCGCTCCCAAGAATGGATATGTCTCGTCTAAAAGATGGCGATTTTGTGCAAAGCTTCCCGCCCGGAAAAAAAATCCTGGACCCGTCCCTGTGATTATCATTTTTGAAGTTTTGAGGAAAGTACTATATTATGTTCAAATGTCTATCACTTTTCCTGGTTATCTCCGAATCTAAGGTCAATTTTTCACACCCCAATCAATGAATTAGCTGTGTCGAATTGAAGGGATTCCACTTTGCAATAAATCTCAAGGGAACTGTAATCATCTCATCTTTCACTGGTGAAAAAGAATTTCTTGTTCTTGAACTAACTCGTAAGTTTGTAGGACTAGTCGTTACACGAGGTTATTTAAAAAAAAAACCTATGAGTATACATGCTTGCATATTGATGTGAAAATGTACATTACTTACAGTGAGCACATGGGATAACATAACCACACGAAGCTGCCACCCTGTTTTTTGAGCCGCATACGTATCCCGTATGCGTACAATTCCTAATGGTCCCGAATGATATGAATTGCATTGAACTGTATTGAATTAAATGTTGAAATGACACTTCCTTTTGTTCTAGTCAGTGTGTTACCCAAACTGCGGCCTGAATAACGTATTCATAATTATTGCAGCACGCATGATCACACATGCAAGCCAACGATAGATCTAGAGATAGCGATTATACCCCATGTTTCCTCGGGCTACACGGGGTGACGCGTCCCGGATGAGAAAGATGAGAGGAACCCAAGAATAGAGATGAGAAGACGGGATGAAGGATGCCAAGAAGACAGCGGGAATAGGAAATGAGGATGCGAGCAATCCACTGTGAGAGAACGCATCTCTCCCCGTAAATGGATTTGCTGTGTATTTTCTTGTGCGTTCGATGAAGCCGGATGCAGCCGTGGTTGAAGCAATGTCAACACACGGAGAAAGGTGGCGGCTGCCAAGATGTCGCCTGCGTAAACTATCGACCCGAGTAGCATTTACAAATTTCTGATTTGTTTTCTGACTTTTCCCGCTTTGAAAGGCTCTTGATGAACTCGTTATTTCCACGGTCCATGCGTATTTGTTTCACACGCTGAAAAACGGTATACAAAATGTCGTCTGGCATGTGATTGAAAATGTCTTGACGCACAGTGTCTGTGATATGTGCAGACGCTCCTGAGAATGTGACATTATTTTTTATCTTGTTATACTCCTTGAAAGGAGTGTGTTTTTAAAATTGTTTATTTCTTTCACAATCCTGTGAATTTCCTCAACCTATTGTGTGAAAATATTCTGTGGTACTAAACTTGATCAAGCTCTGTAAGACCACATGCATGAGGCAGAAAACGTCTTTCCAGTCCACGCTTTTCGACGACACTTAATTTAGGGATACTATAAATCACGGTATTCAACAAACAGAGTATAGTGTCTCCTGGTTTAAATTTAAATTGCCCTTGATTAAAAATGATCTTTCTAGAAGAAGGTATTAGGCATGCAATCTTGTAGGCCAATATTGTAACAATTTTCCTAGAGATTAGCCTTCAAAAATGACGTCAGCACCTGCAGTGTGTAATCAACAATATACAATCATTAGTTTACAAAATTTCTTTTCTTTTCTTTTCTTTTCTTTTTTCTTTTTTGCTGTATACCGTTAAGCTTACCTTGTCTGAAAATATACACTCCCTCGCCGATATGCCAATCACAGGAATGCCGTAAAAGCCACACGTGTACGATACGGACACTGAAGACATGTACAGTTCCGGAGAATGTCCGGAAATGACTGCGTAAACCTGACGTAAATAATACAGCGGGAAAAGAATCAGTTTGTGATGCATGGACAATGGAGGTGACACCGTGGAGAAATCACGGCGACCTTAATTTGTGATTCAGCCTTCCGGCCTGTATAAACGTGCCTCAGAATGTCTGTTCATACATTTCTCCTTGCGCTATATGAGCTGTGATTTTTGTTTTGTTGCTTTTGTTTTGTTGAGATTTCACACAACAGAAATGTTGTTGTTTGTAGGACTGTATGAACGATAATATGCTTGTGGCAATAATCTGCCCCTGTATTGTAATGCGGGCTGGTGCACTGTCTGCCTCTCCGAAAGGGTTTAAATTTCAATTCATTGTTGAGGTCAATGCATGTATTTGTCAAGTTCCTGTAGAAACTGTCTACCTGGTTGGGGATAATCTTCACACAGACTCGAATGGCCGACTCGATAGGGTTGTTGGTCATAACGATGGAGGTGACATTGAGCTGGTAGTTGCCCGGTAGGATGAGGCTGTTGTCGTTGACCTCACGCACGGCCGCCTGCAGGGTCTCGATGTCTTCCTCCGTGCTGAGCATGGCCCCAATGCGGATCTCTGAGATGGCTGGGGCAGCGTGCATCACCCGGGCCAAGTGAAGGAGAAGGAGCAAGCAGACGGGGAGGGGGTCGTACCGGTTGGTCTTGCGATGGCGTCGGTGGTGGTACGTGCGGGGTAGTTCAAGCTGGTTGTCTGTGGTCATGGCCATGGTGCACTTGGAGGGATGTTTCGCGAAGGCAGAAGGGTTCCTAAAAATAAAGATAATAAACTAAGTCCGTTCAACAGAATTTGGACAGAGAGGGGATTGTCCGAACCCTTGAGGGGAGACAGACCTTGTGGACGTGCGTGAGCAGTGAAGGGAATGGGACAGCGCTTATAAAAAATAGCTTCTGTTGAATGGATCTATCAGTGGTATCTCCGTTATCTGTATTTCACCTGTTTTTTTTTGCTCCATTTTTATGGTACAAAGTGTGATATTATCATTTCACTTAAACAATGAAATCGATGAATGACTTTATAAAAACCCCAGCACTCTATCTTCCTTAGCAAATAAAGCAAGCGATTGTCTGCCGTTAAATTTAGGACTCATGCTCTTTGATGTTTCCGTCACTGCTAAATGAAACTTTAAAACACTGGCCAACTGAACAAATGAACATCTAAAATTGCCTCGAAAATCCACGTTAGACCAAAACAATAATGTAGTGGAGCACCGGTTAAAAACGACGATGAATGCAAGACGATGCAAGGTTGTTATGGTAACAGTGATACGAGAATCGTACAGAAGATAACGAGACCACTCACCTATATCATCACATCAGTTAGAATTCAGACCATCTGACTCTCGGCGTGATTTCTCGTGGTTTGAGGAGAATGAAGCCGTTCACAATGCGTAGAACTCTACACGTCAACACGCTTTAATCCGGCTTGAACGGAAAGCTTTGCCCGAGTGTGCTATAGGTTGTGACGAGATCCCTGAGTGCAGATGGCCGAGCAAGGCATGCGTGCTCAGCATAAAATGTCTCCAAGTTTGATTTCAGGTTGAATGCAGCACTATCGTGCGCGCCTTTGCGGAGCAATCCTCTTCAGTTACGTCCGTGAGGTGCTAGGTCACGGAAGCCAGACTGTTAATTTATCAGCTCGGTGTGTGCGCACATTGATTAAAACAATTAAGCAGGCGAAAATGAAAGTATTTAAGGACGCTTTTCAGAGTATTACTGGTCTGAACTGAAGGAGTCAATTAAAAAGCATAAAGGAAGCTTCTTCCATTTATTTCCCCGTGCATCGTCACCGACAAGCAGATGCACTTATGCACATTATGCGGCAGCACAGCTGATAACGGAGACGACGTAAGTGATGATTCTAAGAATACTGAATAATTAGCATTTCGTTGACGACGCGACTCTCTGGCCACCGCTCTATGATACGATTTACCAACATTAGGCCTAGTACAAAGGTGGTACATAAGATCAGACTACGGTATCCGGCTTTTAATTCATAAGATATAAGGGCAAAATCGCGTCACATGACGGATGTTAAAAACACCCCCCCATTCATTAGAGCAGCAAACTTCAACAAAAGTAATATCTATGGATTTATTTCCATTCATCTTTTGAGGACGCTGCATTTTTCTAATTTTGACCTATCTGTGATGTATACAAAACTTAATGGTATAGTTTTTATGTAATAATAGGCTCTAGTTATGGAAGTTTTCTCACTGTTGGCAAAGTGAGTCATGCGGGTTACCTTTCTGTGGTATAGTTCATTACAACCTTGAAGAAGTAACTACCTGTACTCATTGTTCTTTTCTTTTTTCAGGAGTTAATGCTCCCTGAAATTTGTAATTCCATTGAGAAAAATTGAGCATGGGATTTTTGCAGGTAAACCCAATATTGGTGGGGTTTTTGTTTCTTTATTTTTAACAAAGCGATCTGATTCTGTGTCACGAGTTTTATCATTATTTCTCTTGAGGTTGAGTACTACATACAGCGTACTAATAAATAATGTGGTTGTTTCTACTAACTCAAACCAAAAGAGGGCGCTGTTACTGACCCATGTGCCGAAAAAAACAGTAGAAGCTCCATCCGCCGCGCCGCGAAATCAGAAATTCGATCATTTTGGGAAAAACGAGTAGGGGCCTACATATCTACACTACACGATATATACCCGTATTAATCCTGCATTGTCGTCCACACCTCACCAACGGCAGGTATGTAGCCAATGTAGATTGTCTGATCCTAAAGGGTGACATTCAGTCGGTTATTTAACCTATCCGGCATTGTTTGGAGACGTACATGTGCACGTGTGTAAAGCTTAAGTTCAGACTTCAGTTCAGTGGATGTAGGCTTCCCGCCCTAACGTGCACAGTTTTTGGTTCTCTCAAGATGCACTTTTATTCTGAGACCACACTCAGGCCTTTGGAGTGGCAAGTTGATAGGCCTGTGGCTCCCTTATAATACTGCGAATTAAAATTCCTTTGAAGTCTTTGGCATGGGTTTTCATTCTCTTTTCCCACTTTCTTAAATTAGAAATATGTTTAAACTTGCGGTAAAGTTAGCTTACCCAACTTCTTTATGGGTAATTCCAGAAATTAGGGGTCCAAAAGTGTGACATTTTTCTGTCCCTGTTACATCTGACCTTTGTTATTTAACATGGAAATATCACCGGAATTGTTTTCAAACTATTACTACCAGTATTTGTTTGGCAGGTAATTTGGATTAGGGCCTAATTCATCACTCTTGGAAATTAGATAATAAACATACAACATCATATGTCAGATGTGACAGGGACATAAACAAAAACTGGGCCCCAAATTTCTGGAATTTCCCTTATACATGTTATACTATTACTAGGCGGCTGAATAGGCCTACTCTGCTACTTGTAGCTGGGCCTTACTCATTTCTTTGCTTACTGTCATGATTGTGTCAGCCTTAAGTGATGAGCATCATCAGATGTTCAGATTGTAAGCACAGAGGGCGCTGCACTGCTGTTTACTACTAGAATTTATTTGGTCATATTTTGGGAAGAATTCCGTATGTGGACGCCAGTAATTCATCCCTACAGTGACTTAATAGCCATCAGCAAGCAAAACATATCCAGAAAAGTTCAATTTAAGAGGAAAAAACCAAGTCGTTTGCTTAGAAAACAGAATGTTTCAGACCAGTCCCATAGGGCCCAACAGGTGTCAAGTGGCGTCCATATCATATGGAACTCTTTCCCATTTTTCCTTAAAAGACCCCCTTTTTAGTTTTTCACCGGTGGGTGATTCTCTGCCCCTCTTCAAATTTCACCCGCCAACTCTGAAGTTGTAATTTATGGGAGTGACTTTATTGACATACATCCTTTGCATTAAAGCTGTTCCATAGTGTACCATGCTTTGTACATTGTACATGCACCGGAGATGTAGATCTGCAAAGTGTTGTCCATTATTGGATAGCATATTGGCCTTATCTCATCATTGTTCTTGACTGAGCACATTTCTTCTGTGTTCACCATCGTTGACCAATAAAAAAATATTACCAAGGATTTTATGATGTCCCTCATGGCCCAACTGAAAAATGTTGTAGTCCAGTACCGGTATGTCAGTGATTGGTATTGGACAAGGACTTGTGGGGGCCAACCAGTACAAGACTATGTGAATTTCCCCCTCCCCTTCCACCATACGGTAGCTGAACAGTTTTATAATATCACCATTTTCAGCATAACTCGTTACGGGTTAGGGTTCAAATCTCTCTAAGACCATACAGAAATTCACAGGGCATCTGTGATATCTTCTCTTCATGTAAACCCTTTTATTAAAGTGGGCATGCCTTTAGGAGACAATTCCACTGCAGTTTTGCGAATTAATCTCCAATGCGCTATACCTTTAAGAGTCTTGTTATTTGTCATTTGCCAGTCTGCACACACCTGTGGCAGAGTTCCCTTGAGGACTCAAGGGACTGATTCAGGCAACAGTTGAAAACACCTTGAACACATGTATGTGACTTGTGAGGCATGCCATCACAATCCAACTAGATTTTCAGCACCTATCACTATTGGTATGCATTTGGGCCTCCCTAACCCAGCTTGCACATGGCCCCCACGTCTTGTGAGGTCTCTGTAGAACTTTCAGAATTTATGTGCACTCACAGTATCATGTGTGTGACGTGATGTGATGTGGCAGTGTCTATTTCTGCCATTTGCAGTATTTCACCAGAGGTGCAGAAATTTAAAGGTCCGCATGGAGCTTGATACACCGGCTAATCTTGAAAGGATCCATCCTGTTTCTATTCTGTAGGATAGAGGAAGGTTAAGGTTGAGGGCCACATGTTGCAATTTCTGTTTATCAGTAAATTACTGGTACATGTACATTGTTTGTACCGGGTCCATACATGTAAGTATTTCTGATTTTAAAATCAACTAAACTTGTTTCATTAAATGCACATTTACTCTGGTGTAGTTTTTTTCCATGTTCGAGGGGAATTTTAAAAGTTTTTTTAATGATGATGTACAGGCATCTACATGTAGTTACTGTAACTTGGACAATGTGAGACTCTCACTTGAACAGTCTGAAAAAGGGCAAATAAAAATGTTTGCTACGTTTTTCTACAGTCTCGTGATTGAGACTTTTAACGGAGGAGCACAGAAACAAGGGGAATGATTTTAAACGACATTGTGTTAAGAAATTCAAACATTTGAAACAAACAAGCTGACAAATGAAGGAATGAAAAACTTCAAGAATTAAAGACCTCAGGTTCATTTGACACAACTGTGCACTTCCTATAAATGACAGTACCGGTACATGTCACCATACTGTACATGAAGTGCATAGAGATGCAACTTGTAAACTTGCCTTTTTAATGTTGCAATTTCTTCAGACAAATCTTTTCAAAACATCCCTTCATTTTTTTGAGAATGTGAGAGAGAGAGAGCTGAAGTCTGAAATGCTCACTATTGTGGCTTAGGCCTACATGTACCTGTGTCAATGTGTGAGGATACTTAGGAAGTTTATTATCAACTATTAGAGTAGACTGCACTTCCAGTTTAGGCCATTCATGTCTAGCTGTCAAATGTAGGACACCCCTACAAATTAAATGATTCACTCTCATCAACTGGAAAAGACTCAGCCCTTGAACAGCTTCAAATGGGCCGCACCACTGCCGTTGTGGGTGTGCACCCACCAACAAAGAAACCTGCACACAGAGGACCTGTTACCCTATTAGTGCTCACAATGGCTGAATGGGTATTAAGGTGCGATATTGTCCAGGGGCAGACACTGATGGGGGTATTCTGCTCTTTAATCGGTTCTGTATTGCTTCACTTTGTCATCCGTACGACCCGAGGAAGGTTTTGCATTGAGATGTTGTCCGGGAGATACCTGACGCCAACCCAATGGTGTGAAAAATGATTATATGCCGCTGCACTTTACGGACACCTTATAAATAGAAAAATTGTACTCGGCGACCTATTCGTTAGTCAGTGTAGTGTAGGATTTTTTTTCAAAGACGGACGTAAACAACATGAGTCGCATTGGAGTTGTAAGGTATGTATATTTTTAGGTTTTAAAAATGATTTGTTCCCAGAATTATATCATGTACGTGCATCAGACGGATTGACTGCATTAGGACTTAGTCAAGCATATATGTACATGTACATTTACACATGTATGGTACAGTGTAGATAGAAACTGATTTTTTCCGTTTCACCAGGATGCCAGACCATGTACATGGACATCAAAACGGAAAGCTCAGCTTGCTCTTTTTAATGCTGGTAACTATTGAAAACAAATTACTTTAAAATTGCTGTAAGGCTCATTTAGCTGATCTCATCACATGGATGTGCAGGTTCAATACAGCTTCAGTTAAGAACTTGATGTGTGTGTGTGTGTTTTTATTGTATATTTGAGAGTTCAGAGGGGCTTGGCATTCCAGTTGTTGAGGGTTTTCAAACAAGGCTTGGGCCTATGGTTTTCACTCACACAAAATCCAGACATTCACTGCTGGTGTGGTTTCTTTGTTTTGTGTTCTTTTGGTGAGGAGAGGGGAAATTTTGGATACTGGTCTTGCACCGCTTTTGAAAAAAAAAATCAAACAGGCCAGGTCTTTACTTGGAGTTTCTAAACCAACTACGGCGTCCATTTTTACATGTACATTGTATTTGCCAACTTCCCAACTTTCTTTTCAGTTGAAATAACCAGGAATAGAGTGTTCTGTACACTTTCTAGATTTCTGACACACATTTTGGTCTTTCTTGTTCAGCCTGATCTAGGGTAGGCTACTCCTAGCTACGCACACACACTGAATGCAGGTAGCTTGTTTGTGTAGGGATGTACCATGTACATTGTACACAGTCTGGGTATTGTACAAATTTACAAAGGAGAGCCATATCACAATATTTTGTGCACCCTGATTAATCATCCGTAAACATACCAGTTTTTCCCTGCTGGTGTTTACAGATTTGCTGCCAGGGAGGTCTGGTTGTTTGTTTCTGGGACCTCTACAACCTAAAATGGAGAGGAGCTCTTGGATGGGAATTCATTTCTAAGGGGATGGTGGGGATGGAGTGTCTTTTTTTACTGACTTTTGGCTGGATCTTCAGGCGGGTGTCTGTTCATGTGCCTAGCTGGAAAGTTTTTGTGTTTCGACAATTGTGCAACTTTTAGCTACATGTACATGTAGGTTCATTTTCATTGAGCAGGCATCCATTAAGACATGCATAGGAGATTGGGGGTTTGGAGTTTTACAAAACTCAAATTAAGCAGGAGAAAATTGCAACTGACAGACTGGGATCCCCATTGGTAATCTCTGCCAACTGAAGCTACATGTAGCTGGTTTGCCGCTCCTTGCCAATAGAAAATAAAAAGAGTAGTAGACAAGGAGTGATTCAGAACCATTTCTTCTGGAAACATGTTTGGGCCCAAAACTGAGCAGTTTCTTTGGAAATGAAGTTTTTGTACATAGCCTTTTTGAGCGGCAAGGCCGAATTTGGAAAGGACCTTGGAAAGGGCAAGAAAGGAAAAAGTCCCCAAACTGCCAATTTCTCATTTTATGCATCTTAAAAAATTGCCTTTCCCTCCATTCCCCCCCCCCATCCCACCAGGGTTGGCAGGGTTGGGTAGCTTACTGTACAGCGAGGGTTCAGTGTCCTAGATGCCAGAAGTCTGAATCATTCTGCAAGCTAACTGTTTTCATCATTCAGGTGAAGGTTGTTGTGAATTTAGTCTCGGTATCTTAGAAGAGCTGACCTTTCCAACATGAATTGCAATTCAAGTACTTTCCAGAAGAGCAGGTACATGTACGTCCCAGCTTTGGCTTTGATGTTAGTGTTTGGTCAGGTTCTCAAAAAAA